TATTATTCTATTTGCTGACAAAATATTTCATTAATTAAAATGGTATTTCTTAGTAGAATAATCAATAATTCAATCCACGGGCTGCCTCTTTCAGGATTAACTTTCTTTACAAATCGAATTATGAATACGTCACACTGTTTTTCCTCTTGTATCGAACTTAATTCTTTCTGTTTTAATCCTTTATTGTACATTTCGTCGACTACCTCCGTAACAGTTTTAAACGTTGTGTGTTTTGAAAATTTAAGCTTAATTATGTTAAATGGTGGACGTCTTGACCAAACAAACACCTAAAATATATCAAATGGATTTGTCCGTCTGTCAATATGGACGAAGCCATTCATTCTATTTAGGCAAAATAAAACTGTGTGCTGGATGAAACGTGAACTCAGCATATCATGATCAGATGACACGGCTTCACCGACTGACCTTGGCCTGCACTGGTTGCATAGGTATTTTCAGTCGCCACCAGCTGGCCAAAATTTAACCTCTAGATACCAAGGGGTTGCTCTTTCATATAGAAAGCTATACATTTTTGTTTTTCAAATCGTGTCAAGAATACGTACTTCTTTCATACTTCATTTCATCCGGATCAATCTATTTTACAGTGAGATGAAAACGTTCGTTTTAGATGTATTGTCATTCCAACAATATAAATACAGTGTCTGAAGTTATATCCCTTGAGATATATAGTTAATCAAGGACAATCAGAGGTTTATATGCTATCAAAGGCAGATGTGACATCAAGGTTATATATAATACTTGAAAAGAGTATAATTCAGGATGATATTTGATAAACTGGTATTTATGCTTTATTTAATAAAAATAATTGGATACTAGTGCTTTTGGGAAAATAAAATGGCATTCTTATTTAACCTTCAACATATATTTTACATTGTACATTTTTGTGTGTTAAAAATGTGTTGTCCAGTTTCCTAGTCTTTCTTAAACTATATAAGAATATCAAAAACAAGTTGGAAATCTATTTTATCGAGTTAGTTCATGAGAAATGATGAAAAAATGTAACATATCATATGCCCCCCTTAGCACCGCCTTATGCGGTGTTCAGTCTACAACACTAAAAGTATTGGAATCATTTTCTATATTTTTATTTATAAATATTGGAATAAAATCATCATTGTGACCACGTGGTTATATAAAGTATAAAAATTCAACGAAAATAAGATATACTTCTTGATACAAGCTTACAGCAAACGTGAATACGGAGACGAAATTGATTACGTCATACATGACGTAAAAATACCAATTATAGTACTTACATCGACTTACAAATGATATGGTTCGCCATTAAATGTCAATATTATTTACAAAGAAAATTCCAAAAGGATTTACTTAATTTCCACTGATATAACTGTGACAGAAAGTGGTAGTTTGAATATTTACGTTCGTCTGCTACAGTAAATTACAACTTACTTCGTTCATAATAAATAAATTTCTACCAAAATAATGCGCATATTTATCTCGTAAAATATCTGTCGCAATCGGATTGTAAGTAAACTGTATAAAGATATGTTTGTCTAAGATACAGCTTAATATTAAAGGCACATTATGCCTCAGAAACCAATAATTGTTTCCTTTCGAAAAGGCAAGTATGAGTTTTATAATGTTTGAACAATGGTTTCAGAGCATGTAAGATGGTTATTACATGAAGGAAGTAGTGTTAAATGTGAAATAGTTTATCATAAAAGTAGCAAAGTGTTAACAAAGTTGTATTTTGACTTATTTCTAAATCTTTGTAACTTTACTATTTCCAGAAAAGAACAGAAGCAAAATATTAATCAGGTAATTGGCTTATTAGTAAATATTTGGAAACTATAACAAAACACCAAGTATAAAAAAGCTTTTGAGAAATAAAAATAGAAGCAGTTCTGGGACATAATGGGCCTTTAAAATAACTGTTGAACCAGTTCAGTCGAGAACAGATAGTTCAAACCTAATATTTCATTCATGAACATTAGAGAATTTCGCCATCGTTTTGCTGTCTCCGATGCGTATATACAAATAAAATAACAAACTATATTTGATGTAAACGGAGATGAATGTATTTTTAAACAGTAATTCTTGCCTAAACCATCTCAATTATTTAAAAGCTTTACTGTTATTGCAGAAATAAATTCCGTAATTTGTTTTGTACAAATAATGAATGCATTATTTATATCATTTGAATTTCATTTGCCTTGGTAACATATATTCCTGTTGCCAAGCATTATAGTAAATGTCAATTATAGTATAAAAATTGGACTTTATTCGCCTGTTTCTCGTGTTCTTAAGTGATATATACAGGAAATTTATTGGATATATTTTTTTTCATTCTGCAATTCTGCTACGTAAATTATTGATAGTTTTCATAAATATTACAATCCAGAAAACCTAAATGATTCATCTGGTTTATAAAGTTTTTTTGTCCATAAAGGTTTAGGTGTAAAGGTTAGATATTTAGGAAATATATATATTATGTATATAATATATATTATGAAGACTGTACATAAAACATTATTAATCATTATTAATTAACTTTTCAATATTAGGCACGTTTTCACTTCAAACGTAAAGCTTATATGAGGTTCAACATAAAACTAGGAAATTATGCGAAAAGTACGGCTATGAGAAAACACGGCTATTTGATATTTGAGAAGTTTGATTGGGTCCCCAGCTCGGCCATTATGAATCTGCTTCTTTTTTTTTCATTGAAAAAAGTCGCCATTTTGAATTGCTGCAAGACATTTTTAAAACATGAATCTCATTTGCAATACCTCACAACAACGGAATTTTACATTAATAATTTTTTGTTTATGTGTAGTCAATTAATAAAATTGTCAATAATTAAGTGTTTTCATAATGGCCTTGTTATTGGGCTTTAGACTGTCATATTAGCCTTCGGCCTTTGGTCTCAGGCTAATATGACAGTCTTCAGCCCAATAATAAGGCCATTATGAAACCACTTAATTATTAATATTATAATAATAATGCAAATGAAATATGAATATTATTGAAAGCTGTTATATTGTAAACATAAATATAACTTTTAGTTAAACTTTATTAATCTTAATTTAATGAGGTTAACAATAAAACAAGTTTTATTTAAGGTTCAACACAGTTGGGGTTTGGGTGCGGAATATACTTAGAAAAAGTTTGTCATTATAAGGGAGACAACTATGTTTAAACTGTGATGTTCCTTGATACAACATTTGTCTCCCCTGCATGACTCGTGAAAACTATAGATCTTGCATTATCGTCATCATCATTTTTTTTTTATGCAAGACAGTTAATTTACGCAAAAATCATAATTACCAAATATTTACTTTTTATTGGATAGTATACAACGTCCAATGTGGAATCACGTGTAGCGATTAGATGATACGAATTAATATAAAATAATATAAGATACACTAAAAATTAATTATATATCTTCCCAAAATTAAGATAACTATTTCTTCAGACCAAATTTGATTTACATAATTATAGTATGTCGCCTCACACATATCTATTTCAGAACATGACACACTACAGTAGATCTAGTTCAATAAAACTAGGATGGACCAGACGATTTATTTGCAGCAGATAAAAAGGACGGCCAACGTCTAACAAGTGTTTAATAGCTTTCAGTTTTTACAAGATATCATCTTAAATAAATTACATCAAGATCTGTCAGCCCGCGTTCTCTATTTTGCGACATTTACCGTATTACGTATGAATTTTGTGTTTTACGACATCCATCAGACTTGCGTTAATTTGACTAGTGTTGTTGTCTTAAAGTAACTCGAGTTAAAACACTTACTAGCCCACGTAGTGATGACGTGATCATGGGTCGTTGATCTTGACTTTGTAATATTTAATTACACACTTCCCTGTCTTGTAGCGTTTGACCGCTTAAAATACTCTTGTTTCAGTAATTAAATTTTATCGCATATGTTGGCAAAAATAGAAGGATTTTTTTTTTAAAAGTTACGAAAAAAGAAAAACATTTATTATATACAATTATGTACAATTATTTGATATCAAACTTATATGGTTGATGCTACAGATAGGGTAGCGATCTATCTTTATTTCAGATATGCAGAATCTTTATTTTAATTTTTAATTGAAACTTGTAAGGATTCAAATGTATAACTCATATCAGTTAATCATAACGGCACACAGCCGGACAAAGTCAATTTTTTCTCATTTTTATAAAGATTTTTCTTCTTCACATAATAACAAAATAATATCTGAAACTTCAATTGTAACAGTTTATACATGTATTTGCCTGACAATGTTGGTTTATAGCAGATTTACATCGCTTTTTCACTTGACCTTAGGCATCATGTTTATTTTAATAACTATATTTCATAAATCACTATCTAATTTTCCTCTCAAATATTTCATTATGACGTCATGACATCATGGACGTCAAGTGCCATATGTAACGAGTATAAATTTACACATTTTTTTTATTGAATATGTAAAACTGCTTTACAATCGCTCAACAGTTTAAGAAATAATGACGGATAATTGCAAATAAAACTGCTAGATAATTTTCCATTTAATACTTAAATATCTAAATGCATCTAAATAAGTCGAATTGTTAAAGAAAAATTGAATGAGTGTAGGTTCAATACTGAATTTATTGAACGAGTTTAATAGTTTTGTCGTGTGCGAGCCTATAATAATGAAAATAATACATGTATTCCCCTTAAAACGTTATCAAAATAACAACAGCTAAGAATTACTTTCATGGGCGCGCATATATTTTGACGCTTACATTTCGCGTGTGTTTACGCTATTTTTGTATAAAGCGCATATGACGTCACGTCAAAATATACGCACGACCGTGCCATGCCATTTTACGGAATCGTTAAAGCGGAAGGTTAGGCGTACTTTAAACACGAAATAAATTTAGTATTGAACCTACTCTTATTCAATCGCCTGTAATTTTAATGTTTAATGGGTTTGGTCTTTAATCAATATGCTGATTTTTATTATTATCCCTTTGCCTTTTGATGACGTCATGACAAATTAACTATGACGTCGTTTGACGTTAGATACGAAGTCGCGAGAAACAAACTTTTTAAAAAAAATGGTATTTCTGAACAAGGTAAGTAATTTTATCTTCGTTTGATTGTACTTTTTACATGCGTTTACATTTTTTTCTTCTGATGTTTGCACGTGGTAGTAAATAATTTTTGATTGCAATAGATTTTCTAGACTGCATGTTGCAATGCGCTTTGGCCTCGTCAAAAACATAATTGTGTACAAAGGATATAGAAGTTATAGTCATTATTTTCAGCTTTTTATTTAATCTTTTACGAATATTTAACTTTATCTATAGGAAATCGGAGGAGTAAAAAACAAATTCTATCAGTATATACGTTTTATACAAGAAAATTGTGATTTTCAAAAAATTAGTCCGCCCTCAACCGCCTAGAATTTTTCTTTCAATTCATTATTTTAGTCCATTATTTTTTTACCAATATTCTGCCGCCAATGTCTGCTAGAGTCTATGACAAATGATATTGCAGTCATCAAACTTGTTGAAATGGATATCATCTTCTCATTTATTTTATTTTTTATTTTACGAATTTAAGTAAATTTGTGATAAAATCTTTCTTTAACTTTCTTTAAGTCTGCTCTACAGCTGAATAAATACGTTTTCTTTTTAATATACCTTCAAACTTGATGCCGTAAACCCGAATAAAAAAGTACAATAACAATAGAACACATTTGACATTTCCGTTGCCTATAGTGGCTGATTTGGAACGCGTCGTGTTATCGCTAGCGACAGCACGACAAAGCGCCAAACGACGCGTTGTCGTGCGGCGTGATGCCGCGATGTCACGTTGTCGCTCGGCTAAATTCGAAGGATTGGCTTATCAGCCAGGCGACATCGCGACAACGCGCCGCACGATAACGCGCCGTTGTCTTCCCTAGCGGCAAGACGACAGTGCCACAATGCGCCGTTCAGCGTGTTTCGCTAGCGACAAGACGAAAAGGCGATAACGATATAGGTTGTGTTGTCTTTATCGACAACGCAACGCGCAAAGTGTACCAAATCAGCCACCATAGCTGCAAGACCCTATGATAGAAGATTTATGAAAAATAGGATTTTTCTTTTTAATTTGAATGTCTGACAATCCGGAATTCAGAACGAATCCTGACGATTTTTACCCATGTGACAAGCCATAGATCTGATGCAAATAAAAAAAAAAGGTTATTTATATACTTCATACCGCAGATTAGTTAATACATGTATCAGTTTTGAGAAGATGAACGAGCAGCTAGAGAATCTAATGTTCCAGTCTGACCGAAAGGCAGATTTCAGTCCACGTGCTCATCTATGTATACTAACAGACACACTTCAAGTCACTGGACCTCTGCACTTGATGATCACAGATCTCGTGCACACGTGCTTGTCTAACTATTTCCTGCCTCACAGAGATGCTGCCAGTGTATCTTGGGTAAAAAGGTAAACAATCGTGTTTGTATTCATATTGTAAATTTATTGAATAAAAATACTACGCGGCAATATGATCTCCACCCGATGTTCTACCAAACACGGTTTACACCAAAAAGTCATACATCTCTTACGGCCCCGTCCGACAACTGTCTGCGCATGCGCAGTACGTAAAATCTTACGTTCCTCGAGGGTCTGACAAAATTCATGCCACACCTGTTGTCTAAAATGTTAGCACTAAATCAATTAAAATAGTTCAAATTAGTATGAATTGTTGCGGGTTGGTCGAACATTCCTTGTAATTCGTTCTTCTACGAGTATGTTTCTGTATGAACTGGATACTAAGTAGTTATCTAAACTTTGGATTGTTTTATGTAATTAAATCATTTATTGATTCCATAAATGAGACAAATTATTACAGTCAAACATGTGTTAAAAACACTTCTGAATAGAGACTACCATGTAAACAAAGACCATTTTTCGGAAAACCTTAATTGATAAAAACACAACAGAGTAAACTCTGGAAAAATAGACCACTTGTATATAAAGATCATGCATGGCTTCTCCTTTGGTGGGCATTTTATCACAGGTTTCACTGTATGTCTCAGATACACTTTATTCTATCAGAACAACTAGTTCAATATTTTACACTTTTGAAGAAAAAAAAAACGGAGTAAAGGTCTACTTCTTAAGCGGAAGCTTTTCTGCATAATATTTTGATCCATTTTTATCTTTATTTTACGAACAACATTTGCAGAGCGACATCCTTTTGGTGACCATAATTTTGAAAGTTGCTGAAATTGAATGCTTAAGATAGCAAAAATTTATTGTGAAGTCTTTGTTTCTGAACAATTGATATACTGTTGTTGTAGATAGATTATTGCTCTACAGAGGTTTCCCTGCCTAGGTTCCACTGTATTTCTATAGGAATGTTTTTCTGCCGAGGTCACACTGTATCTCTATAGCAAAGGTTTTCTGCCGAAGTTCCACTGTATCTCTATAGCAAAGGTTTTCTGCCGAGATTCCACTGTATCTCTAGAGCAAAGGTTTTTCTGCCGAGATTCCACTGTATCTCTATAGCAAAGGTTTCTCTGCCTAGGTTCCACTGTATTTCTATAGCAATGTTTTTCTGCCGAGGTCACACTGTATCTCTAGAGCAAAGGTTTTCTGCCGAGATTCCACTGTATCTCTAGAGCAAAGGTTTTCTGCCGAAGTTCCACTGTATCTCTATAGCAAAGGTTTTCTGCCGAAGTTCCACTGTATCTCTATAGCAAAGGTTTTCTGCCGAGATTCCACTGTATCTCTATAGCAAAGGTTTCTCTGCCTAGGTTCCACTGTATTTCTATAGCAATGTTTTTCTGCCGAGGTCACACTGTATCTCTGTAGCAAAGGTTTTCTGCCGAGATTCCACTGTATCTCTAGAGCAAAGGTTTTCTGCCGAAGTTCCACTGTACCTCTATAGCAAAGGTTTTCTGCCGAGATTCCACTGTATTTCTAGAGCAAAGGTTTTCTGCCGAAGTTCCACTGTATATCTATAGCAAAGGTTTTCTGCCGAGATTCCACTGTATCTCTATAGCAAATGTTTTCTGCCGAAGTTCCACTGTATCTCTATAGCAAAGGTTTTCTGCCGAGATTCCACTGTATCTCTGTAGCAAAGGTTTTCTGCCTAGGTTCCACTGAATTTCTGACTGCATATATTTGCTTTTTTTTTTTAATTCTAGCCACTTTCATAAATGAGTGACAGTCATCCATCTTTCACCGAAAACTGGGACTGCCGAAATAATTTTATCACATACCCGTGCCGATTTTGCGAATCCGTAAAAATGGTATTGCACGACCGTGTGTATATTTTGATGTGATGTCAATTGCGTTGTGTAAAGACGCACTAAATGTTAGTGTTATACTACAGGCGCGTCAATGAAAAATGAATCTTTTCACTTAAAACGGTCTTTATTTTGGGTATGTGATAAATAGAATATTAAATTCGTGAAAGTTCATTACTAAATTTATTTAACTCGTTGAATAAAATAATATTATGATCGCATAATATTATTTCATTAAATTCCAACGAGTTCAATAAATTCAGTAATGAACTTACTAACCCTAACCCTAACACTCATTCAATTTCCTCTTTAATTTTATTTTCTTACTTCAGGGATAATTTGAGACAAAGAATGGTTAATAAAACAGACGACAACGTTGATTTCCATGAAGAATTGACGGAGATTGCCGGGAATCTGGATGACGCAGACGCTGTGTTTTTCATCAATGAAGACGCTTCCATCTTCATTAAAACACATCGAAATTCATTTCTACACACATTAGCAACGTGCTTAAAGTCAACTCCTAATAAAATTTTGGTTCTTGATATATGCTTAAAACCTTTAAATATTTTGTAACACACATATATATAGTTATTATAATATAAAAGTTGATACTTAATTCATGTTGAATAAGTTGTTTATAAAATAAATTGTATTCGAACTGTTATTTAAATACAATATTTGTTTTACTTGTAATGCAATTTGTTGTTTGCATAAACATGGTGTTATTTTTATACTTATGCGGAGTCCATACGAAACTGCGGGGTTATTACATCAAGAACAAATCCGACGTAATGCATTCAACCTGAACTAAACATATTTCATCCTTTTCCCGTATTTGTTACAAATTATTTTTAAAAATTTAGCGTTCAGGTGACCGGGAACAATGCAGTTTCTTCTCTAATAACAGATGAGTGTCCGACGTATGGATGGAAAAAGTGAACATAACAAATGTTAGAGCTCCTAACTTCCTAAGGTTAAAGATGACAGAATGTAGATACTTGCGGAAAAGGAAAGACAGGGTTACTTGCATTATCAAATCCAAATTAGTGTCTCTATTCAGTTAAAGGTTTCAATAATGTCAAAGCATTAAGGACACTTTCCACGGTAATAAGTTGTCAATAAATACTGCATGGGTCAAATCAGTCATAAAAAACAAGAGCTGTCGGTAGGACAGCGTGCTCGACAAGTCTCAGTGCTTGATACTAAAACAAGACCCTGGATGATGTAGAATTTTCTAAATTCAAAAAGGGCCATAATTCTGTCAAAATTCATGTTAGAGATATGAGCCTTGGAAAGTGACCTAATATGCTTTTAAAAGGGCCATAATTATGTCAAGTTACATATTAGAGTTATGGCCCTTGAACAGTGACCTCCAATTATGCTCTCCAATAAGTGTGTGAATTTTCATACAATTTCATTCCCTAGTTTTGGAGATACCAATTTGCACGCAAAACTTAACCAAAGTGCAACAACGCCACCACAGACTCTTGGGTGAGTAAAATGGCTTTCCCTTCTCTTCACGCAGTCAAGCTAAAAATAAGATTACTATAAATCAAAGAAAGACTTTGTAACATTTTCTTATGAAATTTATTCCATCATTTCCAGAACATAGTACTCGACTAATTCCAGCAAATGTCAAAACACCTGCTTGGGTCCTTTCATTTCATACAATAGTGAAGTAAAATATTTCAAAATATTACAACATTATACACATATGCCATTATTCATATTTATTAATTAAATCTTCAGTTAAGAAGTATTAGTGTAATTATGAATAAGGTTAAAATGAGATCCTACATGCTGAAATTTCGGGCAATGGGCATAAAATCATTAAAACACCCATAATACCCTGCCTATTCATACATATGACACGCATTTCAAGTATTACTACAACATAAAACATAACATTAAAGGCACATCATGCCTCAGAAATGAGTTGTTATTTAGACAAACACCATAAATCCATAGATAAACAACAAACAATACCTTTCAAGGGCAATATCCCCTTACAACATTAATTTTTTTAAAGTTTTTTTTTTACATATCCATATTAAAAATCAACTTTCTTAACATAGTCCATCATACGATTCTAAATATAGATTGATCACTTTAAAAAGTTTCACACCATTTACAAATGATACTATTACTGACATTCAAGTTCTGAAAATTTCATAAAATATGTAAGTAAAGTTCTGAAAAATAAAAATAGTCATGACAGAAAAATTGAAGCCATCAAACTGTAAAGTGCCATTAACCACATTACAAATTCAGTAAAAACACAAGTTACAAATTCAAATGATTCAATGCAATATGAATTACAAATTTACATTCATACAGTAAGAAATTTAGTGTTTACTCCTTTAAATAAAACATGAATTACAGAATCAAATTTATATGTGCTTACAGATTCAAATTCATATGCATTACAGATTTAAAATTCAAAACTACATAAAATAAAATTCAACTTTCAGATTCAAATTCACAGATTACCAATCGAACTAAAGTTAAAATAACCTTCTTAAGTTATTTCTTGCATGTAGATCTGATAACCACCGTATTTGTTGCACCTTCATTGTGATTCAGATTTCCCAAGAAAGATATTTTTAGCCATGCAATCAAACCATCCTTTACAGAGAGGCATTAGACAAATTATCAAAATATCACTGTCCTTGGAAATAAAACACCAGTATTGTTAATTTTTGTTAGAAAAAAAAATGTTTGAAGTAATTTGAAACATATAAACACAATTTTTGATGGGCAAGATTGTTTTGCCAGTTTACCAGCCAGCTATATGGACCACGCCATGTTTTTTCTTTAAATCATGAAAAGTACCTTCGCAGCTGCTAAAATTAGAAACCGCATCGCTTTCAAAATTGTGAAAGCTTGCTGATGATTGGCTGTTTGAAAAGTCACAAGAAGGTGACAATCAATTGGTGGTCATCAGATCCTAATGCATATCTTCAATTAGGATATGAATGGATCAAAATACAAATTGAAATGAAATACAATTACAATTTCATATGCATAACAATTTCAAGTTCCCTAAATGTTATTTGAAATACTGCATCAAGTTAATGTCATTCAAATACAAAAGAAATGCTAAAATCTTATGCCAATTGGTTCACATTTCTATTATTTTACACGTTTTACTACAGGCAAAAATATTTTCTTTCACAATGACCAACATAACAAAATGGCACATGAGCCTGATTGGTCAAAAAGTTGCAGGAGTGCTAATCTCCAGTTGTTTGTCCCATAATGTAATGTTATGTTCCAGTATAGAACAAATGTAGTAAATGTTTATTATAAAATAAAAGAAGGCAAATGTTTGAAATAACCCACAATTTCACAAAGGTGAGGAAGTGCAAGGACTGTTTTCTTTAATTTCAGTGACCCCTTAATTCATGTACATGGTACATGTATCTGAATTTGTTTTGTACAAACTTGATAGAATACTTGTTTTATCCAAGTATGCTACTGACAAATATTAATGGTTTAATCTATATATAGAAATCTATTTTTAGACAAACCTATTTTTAGCTCAGTTTTATATAGTATGAGCATCTTACAATCAGATGAGACACATTGAAGCTACATAGCAAATTATCTTAAATGCATCACAATCTTACTTTTAAAGGAGAGCACTACTGTTGATCCAGCCTGCACTAATAGTTATCGCTTTTCAGTGGGCTTACAAAAAATAATTTTTCTGTAATTAACTGTAATATTGAAGTGGGCACTGTAAATTTGGACTGGTCACTGAAATATGTAAATGGGCACTGTAAATACTAAAAATGGTCACTGTAATATTTGGCTGGACATTGTTACATGTAAATGGTCACTGTAAATATAGAACTTGTCACTGTAACAATTATTCGACTCAAGATCTAAGGGCACAGAACTGTTGAAACACCTCCAGAATATGAATGTCAATGTCACTTGTGAATAGCAAACTCTCCAGGGTGTTTATGTACTTAAACACCAGACTGTGGTGCTGTAAATAGAAAAAAAATAAACAGGTTTTACTTTTTTATGCTAAAGAATTTGATTACAAAAAGTTTACAAATTCAACATGCATAAATCCTAACATCAACAACTAGCAATCTTTTCACTGATTGAAATTTCTTGACTGTGATTGAGACATGATCAATCATGAGATTGAAACACAATCTATTTCAGCAAGATGATCTTAGTTGTGGTGCCCAGACCCCTGAAGATTATTTTCTGGGCAATTTGCCGCCTCATATAAAACAAGGGTTCGTTTACATGGCCCTGAGTAAAGTCATTTATTAAATACAGACACATTTGGATACACATATAAAGTTTTAGAAAAACTGTATCTGTACAACTCTGTACAACTTCTAAAAATTTATAATGAGGTGTGCATGCAACTTACAAATGACACAAACACAAAAACTGCTATTTAAAACAACAATAACAACAACAACAGAAATTTAATGAAATTTTCCTTTTCCATAATTACGAAATTTGTCCTTACAGGTCAAGTCATTTGACACTCAAGGTTTGTTGTGTACAAGATGAAAGGCACTGGTTGATAGGATGAATTCAATATGGTCAAAATAAGTTATCTGGACAGAAATAGGCCTCAGAGTTGAATAACAGATATTTGATGAAATTTTCCTGAAATTGGGAAATTTGAACTTACAGGTCAAAGTCATTTACCAGTCAAGGCCTGTTGTGTTAAAGCAGAAAGGCCTTGACTGACAGGATGAAAATATTATGGTCAAACTTACAGTTGATATGCCACAGACTTAAATAACAGATATCTGATGAAAATTTTCCAGAATTTTGAGATTTGACCTTATAGGTCAAGGTCATTTAGCACTTAACGTGTGGTATGTAAAAACCTAATATAGGCGCTACCTCACAGACTGAAAATGTCAAGGTCAAAGTAAAAGTTGTCAATAGAGAGAAAAAAAACATACTGGCCAATGTTACTGATCTATCAATCGATGAAAAATTCTTCTTAAGAAATAAAAGAACACAAGAATTGAGCACTTACTAGAAGGAACACTTCCTGAAGTCTTTCAATGACCCACTTATACCAGGGAGTCTGATAATCTATACCCTCACTCTCACATCGTGCTAAATGGTCCGTCAATATTATAATGAATCTCTGAAAACAGATTAAAGGACAAAATAGATTTAAGTATGCAATGGCCACAAAGCAATAAGTGTATATGTTTGCAGCCAACATTTACATATACACAAAAGTTAACCAATAAATTAACATATCATTCTAGTAATACTATATTTTGACAACGCGCTTGACTATTCTCAGGGCTTGATAGTAAAACAAGAGCCTGGATAATGTAAAATTTTCTAAGTTCAAAGGGGCCATAATTCTGTCAAAATTCAAGTTCTGTGCCTTGGATGGTAACCCCCCTATTAGGGCCTCAAAAAAGTATATGAAATTTCAACTAATTTCCTTCAGTAGTTTTTGAGATAACAACTTGCGCACAAAAATTGAAAGAGAGTTTGACACTGAGGCTGTAGCCTGGATGAGTACAATCACTTTCCCTATATTGCAATTGTTTGTTTAATTGGATTTTTCGTCACACTGACAAATTATAGGTCATATGGCGACGTTCCATCTTTATTGGTGAAGGAAGACCTCAGGTGCTCTTCCGTGCATTATTTCAGGCACAAATGGGCACCTGAGTAGAACCACTGACGTTCCGTAAGCTAGCTGGATATATTGCAAACAGCCGAGCTAATAATACCTGGAATATGATGAGAAACAATCGTTTCTGTTGATTCTGGACAAGTTCAAGTCTTTCTTCCATGCGCTCCACCATTTCCTCCGTGGGTACCTCATCGTCCTCTTCGTAATCTAAACCATCCGCCATCTTGAAATATACAATTAATCAAAATAAGTTACGACCATTAAAGATCCTGTAACTCAAATTATTTTATGGTTTTATATCATAAATATGATGTTCATATGATGATTTATCAATTTTGAAAGTTCCAAAAAGCATTATTTGTAAAGATATTACCGAATTTTTGCAATAGCAAGACATGATTGTGTTAAAGACAAACCTTTTTCTTCGCAGCATCTAACAGATCTCTGGCATCCTCCGCTTCCTTCTGAAGTTTTTCAACATGCTTACTCATCTTGTTGATGGTCGAGTGCATTATCTCCCAAACATAGTTCCTGTAACAGAACAATAGTGCATTATCTCCCATACATAGTTCCTGTAACAAAACAATAGTGCATTATCTCCCATACATAGTTCCTGTAACAGAACAATAGTGCATTATCTCCCATACATAGTTCCTGTAACAAAACAATAGTGCATTATCTCCCATACATAGTTCCTGTAACAGAACAATAGTGCATTATCTCCCATACATAGTTCCTGTAACAAAACAATAGTGTATTGAAATTAAACAGAGTATTAGTTGCAATAAGTTTTGTTTGTCTGGTTTTTAACTAATCTTAACACTTTATTTGTCATATCTTGGCAGTCAGTTCACCAAACTGGCTTACTGGATTACTTAATCCTGGATAACTAACCATTCCTCAATCCTGGAAAACTAACCATTCCTCAATCCTGGAAAACTAACCAGTAATTAATCCTGGATAACTAACCAGTAACTTATCCTGGATTACTAACCAGTAATTAATCCTGGATTACTAACCAATAATTAATCCTGTATAACTAACCAGTAATTAATCCTGGATAACTAACCAGTAATTACAAACTTTTCCATAAGTGACCTAGTACGTACCCCACATTTTTTTTTAAATCAGCAATGTGAAACAAATGACAATAAGACTCAATGATTTTAACAGAAAAATTTTGCCTTGCCAAAGGATAAAATCTATGACAGATAGATGCTTCCAGATGCTCACAGATGTTTCATTATGCAAAGTGGTAAAATAACTAGCACCAGAACACAAACCTGGTGAAATCTGGTGCCATGTCGGCTGAGAAGAGCCAGTTAGCAACAGATGAGCACTCTACGATCTGTGTCTTCAGAAGCTTGTCTGTCAGAACTACCATCATCTTGAAGAAAAACAAGACATTTAAAAATACATTAACAGATTTTTTGTATTTTAAATCACTAAATACTTTACATAAAGCAGCTTGCCTCCAGATTATTATTTTCATGTAAATTTTGAAAATGAAATTAAATACATAATATTGTATAGTATATTAAAGAAAGCAATTTACACATTATCAATGACACTTACAACCAACGTTAATTACCAAAAGAGGTCAAAATATGAAAAATATGTCTTTACTGCATTAGTAACGCAGTAGAAATATACTTACACATAATGAAAAAATCACTATTAATGGCTCATAACATGTAAATTATTACTTGAATCTTTCTACTTTTCCTAAAATCTCAGTACATTTTTCACCAGTTTGATTTATTGAAATATTTTCGCTCATCTGGAGGCATGCTGCTATAAATACTTTAATTAAAAAGATATTATGCCCATCCAAGAGTAAATGGTGAGTGCACAGGCAAAAGTCAAATTAACTTTACATATGTGTTAGTCAAAATAACTTTACATATGTGTTCAATTTCATATTTTACTATGGAAAAATAATAATCTACAAGACCCACAGAAACTTCTATAAATATAATTTGGAATGTATCTGTTACATTCAGTTTAAAAAAAAAAAAAAAGAGTGGGGCAGTCTTTTTATATTTTTAAAAAACACATAGGTAAGCATTACTTGTGGATGTGTACTCCAGACTTCATACATTGTCTTCAGGAGACATATCTGGCCTTCCTCAGACTCGGCCAACATCTTCAATACAAAATGAAACCTGAAACAAAACAAGAGCTGTTGGTGCTTGATAGTAAATCATGAGCCTTTATTGCATCAAACCTTCAAAATCAAACTTTCATTTCACTGTTTAACTGTGTCCTGTTTCACAGGTATTTAACCTGTTCTCAAACATTAATTTTTTTAGCTGAAAGGTTTGTAGGTAAATTTAAACAATTATTTTAAGGAACTCCGGGGTCCATACACTCAGTGCCTGTAAGGGCAGATGTACACTCATTAAGCTAGAATACATACATACAGGAACTACATATCTGTAAAAGACATTCTTTATATTTTCAATTAAAATATGTTTGAAGAACATCTTAATTTGTTTTGTATTAATACAATGAGATGATTTGCAGTTTGATTTGTGAAACGTCAGGTCTGAATCATGGATGGGATCACCACCAGGCTGACAATAAACAGTTCTAAAAATTAAGACAAAATTACATGAGCAAATTATAAGATGTAAAAGTATACAAACTGACTTTGCAATGGCAGCAAATGAATGGGAGAAAGATTTAGATCCAAGATGTAACAGTGTAGACACAAACACATCTATTCTGAGAGGGTGGTGTGACGGCTCATCTGCAAAGAAAATATCTTTATATACATATTTTTCTAATAATTTTACATATTTTCGCACTATTTTTACACATTTTTCCATTATTTTTACATATTTTTCCATTATTTTTACATATTTTCCCATTATATTTAATATATTTTCCCATTATTTTTACATATTTTCCCATTATTTTTACATATTTTTTAAATACATTTTTCCATTATTTTTCCATTTTTTCCTATTATTTTTTTATATATTTTTCCATTATTTTTTATATATTTTTCCATTATTTTCTACATATTTTCCTTTTATTTATACATATTTTCCATCATTTTTACATATTTTTCTTATGTTTTAGTTTTTTATTGTTTCAAAATACATATCTAAAAATATTTTAAATTCCCATGCAAATTTTATTTTTATCCAATTTCAAGTCATTGTGATAAAATCTTACGCGTAGATATCTGATTATTTCAGACTAATTTGCAATACAATTTCAATGCAACATTTTGTTCAAATGTACCTATCAAAGCTTAATTATGTGACATACTTATAGAAACTTATTTTACAAGTCCGCAATGCAATATTTTTATTTTTGATTGTGTTTAAATTTATGTCTCACCAACACTATTCATATCATGAAGCAACAATGGCCGAATGATTTTATTGCCTATCCTATTTCTTCAAATTATTCATTGAATTATGCTTGTTTCTCGCTTCCTGTCTTTGAAATCATACAAATATGATATTTGAAAGTGAAAAGTAGGAGGAAGTATTAAATTAAATGAATTCATTAGCTTTACTGGTGGAGGAACACAATTGTTTCAAGCACAAGCAAGCACCTAAGTATGATGACCACCAACCTTCTGTAGGGTAGCAAAATAGCTTCCTCATACGAAAGAATACAAAGTCCCTGGCAAGATTGGACCCCAAAGCAGTGAGGGGCAAGAGATTTTAAGTCAGCAACCTTAACCATTCAGCCACAAAGGCCTCTGCAGTATTTTATGATCAGTTAGAAAACACAAGACCTGTGCACTGTTAGCGTGATTCACTTTCTCAGTGGTGGATAGTTAAATAAAATCAACATCGAAAATGGGGCATAACTTGCAATTTTTTTAAGGATTATCTTCCCTTTTAAAAAAGCGTCCTCTTATGACAATAAACATGTATACTAAGCTTGAAGTGAATAGCTTTAACAGTTTCCAAGAAGAAAAAAAATGGACCATAACAAGGAGGTAAATCAACGCCTACACTGACATCAAAGCACACAAAAGGGTCATGACAAAAGGTTCACTTTTTTCTTAGAAAAAGGGAGCTAAAATGTAAATGTAAACATCATACCTGTATCATCAGCTAGGGGATTTGGTAATTCTTTCAATAAGACCAGCGTCTCTTCTGGTGTACATTTTGATTTGATGGCATCTATCAACTGATGGGAAACCATGGTACCCGGCAATGATCCTGTATAAAGATAATACTTCATGTCCATTATGATTTATACTCTATGATGTGTTTTTCCTTCTTTAAATGTATCAAAAGTACCACACCTTTTTGGAAACAAAAAGCTATTCATGTTTCAATCGTACTTTAACTTTTACAGCTAGCTGATTTGATGACATAAAATGTGACGTCATTGTTTCAGTTTGTGCACACTCGTGTTCAGCAGGCAGATTATGATCATCAGTTAAAATCATAGGCAATTTTGTTTACTATATATAGTAACAAGTGTATTAACACTGAACAATAATTCATAACGTGCAAAACAACACAAAAATGAAAAGAACCTAAAAATCATAGAAATTATCAATTTTCATTTATTTCAGAGTATATTTCTTTTTTTATCTTTTACACATAATCCCATTTAAGCGCATGATATGATCTATGTAAGAGGTCAAAATTTTATGTTTCATGGCCTTTTGACCTCAGTGATGCTCCCTTTAAGTAAATTGGAGCTTCTTTAATGAAATTTTTGAGTAAAAATCCTGTTTTATTTATAAGTTTTGAGCGTTTAAAATCAAAATTACCCACCTGCCCCTTCTTCCTCGTACTTGTACCTGGCTTGAGGTTTGGCTGGTATCAGTTCTCTAAAGGCTTCTGGTACCGTGTCTTTGATCCTTTGATGATACGACAATCTGTAAAACAATAGCGCCACATGCAGTGTTACACTTGTTTTGGGCAACCAATTTTGACAAAAATTCTAAGTTAGAAAGAGGCATAACTCCAAAAATAAAGCTTACAGAATTATGCATGCCCTTTGTCTAACAACTGCACTTTGTCTTGATAAGCAAGTATTCCAAAGTTTTGTATTGATAACTTTAAAAAATTTAGTATAATGGGCTACATTAAAGTTTTTGCACGACAACGTGATCATAAAAGCTCCACTTTCCATATGAATAGACAAAATAATAATACCATCCTGTTATTTCAGTTTGATTCTGTTTCATTTAAGCTGAAGGCAAGATTATTAAAAATAAATCAACTTTACAGACGAGGAGTGAAGAAGCCTCCTTTTCACAGTAAATGGACAGGCAGAACAACCTTGTGAAATGAAATAGCTTGTCAATTTGGTAACCAAGTATAAAAGCTGACTTAAATGTTGTTAATCGGCTGACATACATGAATATGTATAAATAATAATACAAAACTAAAACTTGTAAACAGTTACCTTAGGCATTTATGGAGAACCTCTGTAACAAACTTAGGTTTAGGGAGAAGCGGGTTGACCTGTGTACATGCAATCCAATCATCCCAGCTCCATCTGAACTGGAAGTTACTCAAATGGTAGGCAAACCAGTTGGAAAACCTGAAATATAAAAAGAAACAAAATCTGATCGGATCCCAATACAAGTTATACAAGTAATACATACAAACAAGACATGTTGGTAGAACAGTGTGATTGACTATTCTCAGTGCTTGAAAATAAAACATAAGCCTGAATTAAAATGAATTATCTAAGTTCAAAAAAGGGACATTATGATGTAAAAATCCATGTAAGACTTATAATGAGCCTTGAACAGTGACTTCCCATTATGCTCTCAAAAAATTGTGTGAAGCTTCAACCCATTCCCTTTAAATTTTTAGGAGAAACTCTTGCTTGAGTATTGATTCTGATATTTGGAAAGCTAGTTGTTTGTTTGTTTTATTTTACACCTTTTCCCAACAGTATTTCAGTCATATAGGCAGGTAGTTTCCTAACCATCGTTCCTGGAGAGTTACTCCAGTACTAGACTACCTTCCTCCGCGCTAAACTACCAAAGCATCTCCCGAAATCGAACCCACGTCAGAGAGGTAACTGGATTAGAAGTCATCGACTCTAACCTCTCGACCACGGAGGCGGTAGAAAGTTAGTTAATACTGCAAATGTACATACCTTTCAATACATGGAGACTTCATCGTATCCAGTCTCTCATACAACATTTCTGTAGCTTGAGCCAACTTATTACATGTTAAGGAAATGTTTGCTAATATCTTTAAAGTCCACTTTTCAATCTGAATAAACACCATTCATCATTTTTAAAGCAGCACGCCTCCAGATTCACGCTAATTTTCATGAAAATTTTGAATATGTGTTTTAAAGAATTATTTAGTGAAATAACCAAAAGGAAGCAATTTACATATTATCAATGGCACTTACATCCCATGTAAATTACTAACAAGAGCGATCAGTGATCACATGTGTCGCCTCATGATGGCCAATTTCATGTTGGGACAAGTTTTGTGACAGACGGACAGACAGACGGACAGTGCACAACTAAACTTGGTACTGATCATTCCTGTAAAGTTTGGATAAAATTGTACCAGTAGTTTATGAGGAGTAGTCCGGACAAGCTTTTGTGTATCTGGCAACACACAGAAAAAAAACACCTTTTAATCAAAGGGCCAGAACTTGGCCAAAAATCATTCAACTGGAAAACCCGTGCAATATGCGCAAGGTCTTGAGCTGCAGATCAATCCTGTAAAGTTTCATTGAAATTGCATAAGTGGTATAAGAGAAGTAGTCTGGACAAACTTTAAAAATAAAAATTATTAAAGGGCCATAACTCTGACAAAAATCATTGAACCGGAAAATGCTGACGATATGCACAACTAGACTTGGTACTGATCATTCCTGTAAAGTTTGGATGAAATTGCACCAGTAGTTTATGAGGAGTAGTCCGGACAAGCTTTTGTGTATCTGGCAACACACAGAAAAAAACACCTTTTTATCAAAGGGCCATAACTTGGCCAAAAATCATTCAACCGGAAAACCCGTGCAATATGCGCAAGGTCTTCACCTGCAGATCAATCCTGTAAAGTTTCATTGAAATTGCATAAGTGGTATAAGAGAAGTAGTACGGACAAACTTTAAAATTAAAATTATTAAAGGGCCATAACTCTTACAAAAATCTTTGAACCAGAAAATGCTGACGATATGCACAACTAGACTTGGTACTGATCATTCCTGTAAAGTTTGGATGAAATTGCACCAGCAGTTTATGAGGAGTAGTCCGGACAAGCTTTTGTGTATCTGGCAACACACAGAAAAAAACACCTTTTTATCAAAGGGCCATAACTCGGCCAAAAATCATTCAACCGGAAAACCCGTGCAATATGCGCAAGGACTTGAGCTACAGATCAATCCTGTAAAGTTTCATTGAAATTGCATAAGTTGTATAAGAGAAGTAGTACGGACAAACTTTAAAAATAAAAATTATTAAAGGGCCATAACTCTGACAAAAATCATTGAACCGGAAAATGCTGACGATATGCACAACTAGACTTGGTACTGAACATTCCTGTAAAGTTTGGATAAAATTGCACCAGTAGTTTATGAGGAGTAGTCCGGACAAGCTTTTGTGTATCTGGCAACACACAGAAAAAAACACCTTTTTTTCAAAGGGCCATAACTCGGCCAAAAATCATTCAACCGGAAAACCCGTGCAATATGCCCAAGGTCTTGAGCTGCAGATCAATCCTGTAAAGTTTCATTGAAATTGCATAAGTGGTATAAGAGAAGTAGTACGGACAAACTTTAAAAATAAAAATTATTAAAGGGCCATAACTCTTACAAAAATCATTGAACTGGAAAATGCTGACAATATGCACAACTAGACTTGGTACTGATCATTCCTGTAAAGTTTGGATGAAATTGCACCAGTAGTTTATGAGGAGTTGTCCGGACAAGTTTTGTGACGGACGGACGGACGTTCCAACATTTTCGCTTTAGGGGCTATTTTCTTTGTTATTTTCTTTGTTTTCTTAAGGGCTAAACCTTCTTAGCCCCTAAACCCTTTGATCACGGAATGAACCTATTGTTCTCTTTACTGTTATATAGCCCCTAAACCCAAAATGTTTGCTCGGACAGACAGACGACGGAGAAGTGATCCCTTTATGTCGCCACTACTCCGTAGAGGCAACACAAAAAGAGGACAAAATATGCAAATATAGCCCTTACTGCGTAAGTAACGCAGTAGAAATACAGTTATAAATACCTAAAAAACCAGTCATTAATCGCACATAACATGTAAATTAATACTTGAATCTTGAATATTGTTTTACTTTTCCTAAAATCTTAGTACATTTTTCTCAAGTTTTGATTTTATTGAAATATTTCCGCTCATCTGGAGTCATGAGCTTTGTGAATTTTTTTAAATAGATACTGACTGAATAGCAAACAGTGCGGACCATGATGACAGTTGCAGACTGACCTGGCTCTACAATGATGGCAAAGGTCAGAAATTTTGGTTCCAACAGGTTAAAAGTTGTTTTTTTTGGTTTTGCTTTTGGGTTTTAAGTCACACCAACACGGTACAGGTCATATGGCGACTTTCCAGCTTTACTTGTGAAGTACCCCTCCATGCATTATTTCAGGCATATACCAGCACAGAAAAGTTATATGTAAGATTCAATTAATAATTTACATGGTATATGCGCTTAAAGTCTGATTTTGCAGTATTTATCACCATTATTTCTACTGCTTGACTAAACCAATAGAGGTATTGTCACATATTTTGACCTCTTTCTGGTAATTAACGTGGATTGTAATGCTGTTTGTAGAACCACTGACGTTCTATTTATCACATACCTAAAAGAAACCATTTTTTTCTTTTCTTTCTTCTTTTTGGTTGGGTTTTATGACTCAACAACCCAGTTAATGACATATGGTGACTTTCCAGCTTTATTGGTGGGGGAAAACCTCAGGTACGCCAAAGTGCAAATATTTCTGCACAAACCATCATCTAAAAAGAACCACCATTTTGTAAGCTAGCTGGATAGCTTTCTCACATGAAAGAATCCCTGGCGGGACTCGAACTCACTGAGGTCAGCAGCTGGCTAATCAGGGCTAAGAACTGCTAATACATGCCCACAAATCTTTCTTTTTATCAAATAAAAGGATACAACTTGTGGCATGGACCCTGGTTGTAGTTTACACAGCTCTATCAGTGTTGAACCATAGAAAATCTCAAGGTATGGGGGTTGAGGTAATCTGAATAGTTGACCAAACATCACCTAAAATTTATAAGAAAAAATATCTTAAGAGCAATAAAAATAAAACACATTTGTTACAGTAACTTTTGCAAATATTTAAATTCGCAAAATCATACGAGAGTCCAAACAATTAAACAACATGCTGTCCCACACCTAGTGCTCATCAAACATCGTATTCATCAATCGAAAAGAGTTAGAATCTACAGTACAGCATTTGCTATTTTTTTTTTATATAGAGTAAAATACAAAAAGAACTGTAGATTCAGTTTAAGAAGAATTCCAAATAAGGATTGATTTGGAGAAAAGAAGCTCCATAGTACTTTATAATATTTACTGTTTTATTTCTCTGTGACAACTGATCTTCGGACATTGAGTCTAATGGTCATTTGTCTCTCACTGCTGATTCACAAATCATGTCTGATTATAATTTGTCACTTGGGAAGACATTGGTAATTACTGGTTAGTTATCCAAGTAAGTCGATTAGCTTTTGTGCCTGCATTTGAGATTCTTTATACTCGCCACAGGTTGCTCATAAGGGCGAGTTCTCAAGAAGATTATTAGTCATTTTATCTTGCAGGATAGTGCAAAATACAGTTACAGAATGATGCCCTAATTCCAGAAGCTTCTCCTGGTTCTTAAGTGTGCCAAATGTTTAAGCACTCGTACATGGGACCTCAATTTAAAGTCTCATCCAAAAGACTTTTAATAGTTTTAGTTTGCTAGCCTGGAAATTGAACCCACAACGTTGAGATAACAAATCTCGCGCTCTAACCGATTGAAATATGAGGGCTGGTGTTGGTTAACTAGACTGACTGCCAAGATATGACCAACAAGAGCTGTTGGTAGAGCAACATGCTAGACTATACTTAGTGCTTGATAGTAAAAGAGCCTTGATGATGTAACATTTTCTAAGTTCACAAAAGGGCCAAATTTTTCTTTCAATCCATGTTATTTTGTCAAAATAGAGTTACCTCCTCTTGTCTACAGATTGGGGGCTTGATAGTGAACAAGTGTGCAAATTTTCAAAGCCTTATGTCAATGGACTAAATATTTGAAGTATTACAAAAACTTTAATGTAAATTATAAGTCAAAACAAGAGGGCCATGATGGCCCTGAGGTCGCTCACCTGTATATAGCCCCCCCCCACCCCATAAGAAGATGTTTCATGCTAAACATCTTAGCTCTAGCTCATTGGGCTTTTTAAAAGAAATTTTTTTTAAGTTTTTACTATACACATAAAGTTAAAAACAATGACACCCCTGGGGCGGGGCCAGTTTTGACCAAAGGGCTTTTATTTGAACAAACTTTGTAGACACTTACTAGAAGATGTTCCATGCTTAAGATCTAAACTCTAGCTATTTGGGTTTTTTCAAAGAAGATTTTAAGTTTTTGCTATACACATATAAGGAAAATCAATGACCCCCGGGACGGGGCCAATTTTGACCCCAGGGCTTTTATTTGAACAAACTTTGTAGACACTCACTAGAAGATGTTTCATGCTTAATATCTAAACTCTAGCTATTTGGGTTTTTTCAAAGAAGATCTTTTAAGTTTTTGCTATACACATATAAGGAAAATCAATAACCCCCGGGGCAGGGCCAATTTTGACCCCAGGGCTTTTATTTGAACAAACTTGGTAGACACCTATTAGAACATGATTGATGCTAAAAATCTTAGCTCTAGCTCTTTGAGTTCTTTAAAAGAAGATTTTTAAGTTTTTACTATATGCATATAGGGAAAATCAATGACCCCCTGGGGCGGGGCCAATTTTGACCCCAGGGCTTTTATTTGAACAAACTTGGTAGACACCCATAAGAAGATGTTCCATGCTAAACATCTAAGCTCTAGCTCATTGGGCTTTTTAAAAGAAGATTTTTTTAAGTTTTTGCTATACACATATAGTTAAAAACAATGACACCCCTGGGGCTGGGCCAGTTTTGACCCCAGGGCTTTTATTTCAACAAACTTTGTAGACACTCACTAGAAGATGTTTCATGCTTAATAATCTAAACTCTAGCTATTTGGGCTTTTACAAAGAAGAGTTTAAGTTTTTGCTATACACATATAAGGAAAATCAATGACCCCCGGGGTGGGGTCAATTTTGACCCCAGGGCTTTTATTTGAACAAACTTTGTAGACACTCACTAGAAGATGTTTCATGCTTAATATCTAAACTCTAGCTATTTGGGTTTTTTCAAAGAAGATTTTTTGAAGTTTTTGCTATACACATATAAGGAAAATCAATGACCCCCGGGGCAGGGCCAATTTTGACCCCAGGGCTTTTATTTGAACAAACTTGGTAGACACCTATTAGAACATGTTTGATGCTAAATATCTTAGCTCTAGCTCTTTGAGTTCTTTAAAAGAAGATTTTTTAAGTTTTTACTATATGCATATAGGGAAAATCAATGACCCCCTGGGGCGGGGCCAATTTTGACCCCAGGGCTTTTATTTGAACAAACTTGGTAGACACCCATTAGAACATGTTTCATGCTGAATATCTTAGCTCTAGCTTTTTGAGTTCTTTCAAAGAAGATTTTGTAAGTTTTTACTATATGCATATAGGGAAAATCAATGACCCCCTGGGGCGGGGCCAATTTTGACCCCAGGGCTTTTATTTGAACAAACTTGGTACACACTCATTAGAAGATGTTTCATGCTGAATATCTTAGCTCTAGCTCTTTGGGTTCTTTAAAAGAAGAATTTTTAAGTTTTTACTATATGCATATAGGGAAAATCAATGACCCCCTGGGGCGGGGCCAATTTTGACCCCAGGGATTTTATTTGAACAAACTTGGTAGACACTCACTAGAAGATGTTCCATGCCAAATATCTAAGCTCTAGCTCTAAGGGTTTTTTAAAAGAAGATATTTAAAGTTTTTTCTTTCGGTTGCCATGGCAACCAGAGTTCTGCATGGAATTAAATTCTTTGAACAATTTTTAAAGGTGACCACCAAAGGAACATTCCTGTGAAGTTTGGATGAAATTGGCTTAGTGGTTTATGAGGAGATGTCATTTAAAGTAAAAGTTTACGGACGACAGACGGACGCCGGACGCCGGACGAAAAGCGATCACAAAAGCTCACCCTGTCACTTTGTGACAGGTGAGCTAAAAAGGGACATTTTTCTGACAAAATGCTTGATAGAGTTACATCGTCCTGTCTACAGGTTGGGGTCATGATGTTGAACATGTGTGCAAAGTTTCAAAACCATATGTCAATGGGCTTTGAAAATATTTGAGGTATTACAAAAACTTTAACATAAGTGGTTACACTGACACCCACGCTCGGGTGACTAATATAGCTCTACTTATTCTTATCGAATAGTCGAGCTAAAAATGTGTAAACAGTGGCAGAAAAAACAACCTGCTGACAAATAAATAAACAAACATGTTCTTACCTCGACAATCATATAGTTCAGGGGAATTTTGTTCTTGGTCGTGTAGCTCAGCAAAGCTGCGGCACTGTAATTACAAAATGTTCAATGCAATTTTAACACCATGTAAGAACATTGTGTCTTTAATGTGTTTGTTTAGAAGTGAACAAAATGGATATAGATAACAGATGAATATCCACTTTAAAAACTTGTTTACAAAGCACATACTTTATCATTATCATAAACATAACATGAATTCATATCTTTTTTTTACATATATATGCTATTAATCAATTTAATATATGAGAAGGGAAAAGTGCTTGTGTGATTTTATTCTAGTTCTTTTATTCTCTCTGTAATTTGATAATATGAAATTAGGCAAAGCCTACAAACGGGGATGTCGGTTAAAAAAAAAGTTCATTTTTCCATTTTAAAAGTGTCATTACCGCTTTCGTTTTCACTCGGAGGACTTGATGATTATTATTAATCCGAAATGTTCGTTACTGGAATACCCCACCTATTATCATTGAGTTACATTGAAAATGGTGGCACCCTACTACGACTGACACTGAAAATTTCATTGAAAGGTATAGAATTCTAAATGTTCTTTGTTTTTTTATTTGATTCTCTTTTAAATATACACATGTTGTCTATAGCTGGGCAAGCAGAAGTCTGACTTCCCATATGAATTTTCTCAGTGGCAATACTTTGATAATGAAAATTGTCAATAGTGTATAGCTTTTATAGTTTATGAGAAAATGAACCTTAACAAAAAAACTTTTGAACAAAATTTGTAGCCCTTTTGCGTCAGAATACCCCCAAGTAATGTTCTATGTCAACTAGTGGAAGAAATCAAGAGCTTTCCAAGAGCTAAATAAATAGGTTTTGGACATAAAATGATTCGAGCTAAATAAATCGGTTTTTGACATAAAACGATTCAAAACTGTTTGAATAAAATCACACAGAACACTTTGCCATAGCCTTAGCATCAAACATTAAACAAAGAGATACCACTCTTTTCTCTCCAGGTGAAATGTCTGTACAATATTTGATAGACTTTCCTCGATCAGAAATCTTTCTATTGAATGACTTCCAGGTATTGCGGGGCCCTGCAAAACACCATACATAACTGCATGTCAACAACAGCAACAACAATAACATCATGTATCATGTATAAATAGCTGTACCATTCTTGTACAATCTCTTCAGTCTTCCTGCACATTCAAATAGGAAATAGGGGTAACAAATTTTTAGGTTTCCAAATTTTCTAAAATGATTTTTTTATCACATTCATCCCCCCCCCTCCCCCGCTTGGAAAGAATGTTACATTCTTACAAATATAACTTTCTCTATAATCTCTTCGCGCTACATTTTCCTATCTGTACCGGCAGCCATTGTAAGATTAGTCTGTCAAACTAGAGAATTATTAATTGGCATTGTCAACTGATATAGGCTGCAGTCATTTATCCATCCAGGAACACTTGCTTAATGTTTACATGCATTTTGGAGTTAAACTAAACGTTTTTGGAAAATAAAATGTAATCTAAAATGTCCTTCTTGTGGCTGTCGGTATATAACAAAACTGCAAATAATCTTTTAAAAAAAATGCCATTTATTCAATATCCCTTATAATAAATGACAATCTAAAAATTCATTTACAGTTTACTTTTAAAATCAATTGGTCTGACATTATGAATACATCTTATTAGTTCCCCAGTACATTTACTAGTCATGAGCTATAAAAAGACATTTGACTGATTCTCTACAACCTTGTCAAATGTTTTCGAATCACACAGCCAGTGTTAATTTCTGAATCCCGTCATCAGTTTTCGTAGAAAATTCAAAAAGTAAGGACGTAGTTATGAAAATAAACGTGTAGCTGGGAAATTTGTTAGCCTATTGCAGTAAGCCGTCAGGTATTGTACAAGAATGGTAGAGGTCACGAAGATTATGAAATCGTACCAATCTTTTCTGTCTTGGTTGTGCGTCTTGATCAAATATCTCATCTCTTCTTCAATAAGGAATCGATCTATAGCATGACTGCCTGGAATAGCTGGACCCTGTTATAGTAGTGTTAGTATAATCTTACATTGCTCACCCTGTTTTATATAGGTCTTATCATTCATTCAAGCAAATGTATCGGCTCCCATACACTGAGACAATACTACAGCTTATAGATAAATGATGAGGCCAATATGAAACAGTGCAAGATGAGAAATGGCTAAGTGGTTAAGGTGTTGGCCTCTCATCCAAGGATCAAGGTTTGAGTCTTACTGAGGCAGGGCTTCCAATAGTGGAAGTTTGTGACATTTACTCCTGATTTTGAATTGTGACATCCAAAATATAATACTTTTCCTTCTTTACCTATATAATTTGACTTCAAATGTCAAGACATTTTGCAGTCTCTGACTTCAAAAGCTTAGAATTTAATGGAAACCCTGCTGAGGTCATGTCAAATGTTTCCTATCTCACTAGCTTTGGTTGGTTCAAAAGAAGTTCGAGTAAACATCAAGCCTTTATCAAAGTTGAGAGAAATTGATATTGTAAGAAATATTGATGATAATTTGATTGTTAAACAAAACAATATCTATCTAGCTGTTTCATACTACCAACCCTTACCATGCTAAATATCATAATATGGACGTGTTCATTTTTCCATCTTGACAAAACCATCAATTTAGTGTAAATTTCAAAACATGTATTGACTGAATAGCCAACAGCGCCGAGCATGATCAGATGGCAACAATGTGAATTCAGTCGCTGGAGCGCCAGCAGGCGTGGGTTTTATAAATTGAAAAGAATTCTACAGACAATTTTTTTATGAGTCCCTGGCCAACTTGTGGCTATGTGTATCAAAGAATCAAAATGATAACATTATTTTTATTTTTTTTTACAATTATCAGAATGCATACAAACAGAATTTTTGTTAAGAATGATAAAAAACATGTATTTGACTCTCAACTGCTGGAACCAAACTAACCAAACTGATGAGCGTTTGCAACCAGAATAAAACCTGGCAAGCCAGGCAAACAGACAGGAAACATCACCTGATATTGCCTATAAAATAAAATTAACAACACAATGACCCTGATAACAAACCTCTGGAACATCTGTGTAGTCGAACATTCTGAAGACGACCGTAGGTAGCGGGTACATAATCTCTTCGTTGTGAGACGGAGGGATTATCTGGGGTAACGGGTGTTGTAGAGCCTCGCATAAAACGCTGTCAAACGCCAAATATGGCCGCGGCACTTGCTTCTCGATCCATTTGTTGTTCCGCAAATTCTTAATCTGCGCCCACAGACAATCCAAGTACTGAAATATATCAGAAACAGTGTGAAAAAAAAAACTCCTCAGGTGGAAACAATTCTAGAAAAATTTCAAGTTATTTCAACCATAAGAACTAGTATAATCAGCCTCAAGTCAAATCAGTGAATATCAGACCATAATTTGCCACAACAAGAGCTGTCCGTAAGACAGCGCGCTCGACTTTTTTATTGCTTGCCAATAAAAAAAGTTTTTGCAGTAAAAGGCAATACAAGAATCTCTGTATTTTTAAAGTGAACAATGGCCATGAGCATTAAGATATTTAGTGAAGAATTATTTTACTGAATTGTGTGATACCCTTGAACACTGCAGCAAAGTTTGAAATGTTTAAGTCAAAAGAGTGCTTGCCTATAATACAAAACATTGACAGTTAAGGGCCATAATTCAAATAAAATCTTTGACAGAATTACCTTCTCCTGGACATGTTTGGGAATCATGATTGTAAACAAGTATTCCAACTTTCAAATTAATATCTCAAACAGTTCAGTCAAAAAGTGGACTGGTACTAAAAACTTAACCAAGATTCTAAGTCGATAAAAGGCCTTAATTTTTAAAACAAATCCTTGACAGAGTTACCTTCTCTTGCGTACAGATGGGGGTAATGATGTGAAATAGCATTAAAAAGTTTCAAAGCAATATCTCAAAGGGTTAAGGCAATAAGTGGATTTTACCCATATTCAATGTATTTTCTAAGTCAAAAAGGGCATAATTCTGTCAAAAACCTTGACAGAGTTATGTCCTCTTGTCTGTTGATGAAGGTCGTGATGGTAAACAAGTATGGTCCAAGTTTCAAAGCAATACCTCCAATGGTTTTGAAATAAAGTGAGGTGGTACAAAAAACTTAACCAAGCTCAATACACTTTCTAAGTCAAACAAGAGCTGTCCGTAAGACAGCGCGCTCGACTTTTTTATTGCTTGCCAATAAAAAAAGTTTTTGCAGTAAAAGGCAATACAAGAATCTCTGTATTTTTAAAGTGAACAATGGCCATGAGCATTAAGATATTTAGTGAAGAATTATTTTACTGAATTGTGTGATACCCTTGAACACTGCAGCAAAGTTTGAAATGTTTTAAGTCAAAAGAGGGCTGGTAAGAAAGAAAAAAAAACTTTTTTAGTGCTTGCCTATAATACAAAACATTGACAGTTAAGGGCCATAATTCAAATAAAATCTTTGACAGAATTACCTTCTCCTGGACATGTTTGGGAATCATGATTGTAAACAAGTATTCCAACTTTCAAATTAATATCTCAAACAGTTCAGTCAAAAAGTGGACTGGTACTAAAAACTTAACCAAGATTCTAAGTCGATAAAAGGCCTTAAATTTTTAAAACAAATCCTTGACAGAGTTACCTTCTCTTGCGTACAGATGGGGGTAATGATGTGAAATAGCATTAAAAGTTTCAAAGCAATATCTCAAAGGGTTAAGGCAATAAGTGGATTTTACCCATATTCAATGTATTTTCTAAGTCAAAAAGGGGCATATTTCTGTCAAAACCTTGAACAGAGTTATGTCCTCTTGTCTGTTGATGAAGGTCGTGATGGTAAACAAGTATGGTCAGTTTCAAAGCAATACCTCCAATGGTTTTGAAATAAAGTGAGGTGGTACAAAAAACTTAAACCAAGCTCAATACACTTTCTAAGTCAAAAAAGGGCCATAATTCTGTCAAAAACCTTGACAGAGTTTATGTACTCTTGTCTGTAGATGGAGGTTATGATGGTGAACAAGTATGGTAAGTTTCAAAGCCATACTTGTAATACTTCTGAAATAAAGTGGGGGTGGTACGAAAAACTTAACCAAAGGGTGTGACGCCAACGCTAACGCCGACGCCGACGCCGACGCCTGGGGGCGAGTAGGATAGCTCCCCTTTTCATAGAAAAGTTGAGCTAAATAAAAGGGCCATAATTCTGTCAAAAACCTTGACAGAGTTATGTACTCTTGTCTGTAGATGGAGGTTATGATGGTGAACAAGTATGGTAAGTTTCAAAGCCATACTTGTAATACTTCTGAAATAAAGTGGGGTGGTACGAAAAACTTAACCAAGGTGTGACGCCAACGCCGACGCCGACGCCGGGGCGAGTAGGATAGCTCCCCTTTTCATAGAAAAGTCGAGCTAAAAACTGTCAAAACATGCTGACTTTATCACAAGTCCTTGTTATAATCATAACTTCATAATTAATCATATAAAAAATTCATACTTTATATATTTTACCCTAATACACTCGGGATGTGTAACAGTTTAGCAAGTCTAAGCAAAGAATGGCCATTGATAAAACACAACATAGTATTTTTTCGTATTTTCGTTTGATGACAAGAGAGACATTTACCCGTTGTTTGGGTTTATTTCAGGCACAATCAGGCATCTGAATAGAACCACCCACTTTAGTTAGCTACCTGGATAGCTTCTTCACATGAAATAATTCCAAGTCCCTTGCTGGAGTCATTCCCACAGTGGTGACAGGCAAGTGACAGACTCAGTGACCTTAACTTCCAAGGAGGCCACTGGTACCCCTAGAGTATAACAGCTTCTTTTACTGTAAAGATTTAACTTAAAATCTAAGATAGTTATACATACCTCTTCTTGTGGGTGGGGAGTATCAGTAGACCACACCCTTAATGCTGGTACATGTATCTTCTGTCTTTTACTGAAAAACACAATACAGAAAATAAAATTATTTAGTTTATGTTACGTTTAGATATTCACAAGACCTGTCCACAAACAGTGCGCTCCTTGTTTTTTAATTTTTCTCAGTCATATGACTATAAAAATGTCTACCTAGCTTGAAGAGTGAATAGCTTTAAAAGTTTCTGAGAAAATGGACCTTAACAAAAAGGTTTACCAAAGCCGACACTTTATATTTACGAAAGGGTCTGGTCATTACAATACCTTCAACTTTTTCTTAAAAAAAAAATGGAGCTAAACATAAATAATTGCAGTATCTTTACAGGTGTTTGTATTATTTCAAAACTTATCCACTGGATAATGATCTACAAAATAAGAAATTTCACCCTAATTTTTATTTTTCAGAGACAAATATCATAACACAAACTGGTAAAGTATTTCTAGCATAAGAAATTCAAAAGTCAACATAACCATTAAACACAAACAAGGTTTGTTTGCTTTATCTGATTTTCACACCACATCAGTAATTTCGGAGATACCAATTTGCATGCAAAAACTTAACCAAAGTGAGATATTGATGCCCGGGCAAGTACAACTGCTCTCTGTAGTCTTCAAATAATCGAGCTAAAATAAAAAGCAAGCTAGCAGCATTACCTACCTTATATAACCATCTATACTGACCAGTAACTTCTGAAATTCCATCTCTTTCTTCTCATACAATTCTCTACCAACCTTTAAATATGCAACAATTTATGTCAACACCATATACCAATCTTGGTACCAAATGAGTCATGTTGAAGATCCTTATCAAAGGGCATGCTCCGTCAAGTTTCTCTCTCTCAATTTATTATTCTTCTAAAATAAAGTCATTAAATCATTAAAGTAAATGAAATACTGAAGTATTTAGGGATATAACAAAGAATGGTTCCAGGTACTTACCCATGGTAGTGACGTCAGTACGGCATACACATACCAGTCTGATCTCACCTGAAATACATTTCAATATATGTGTATTATTAAATAAGTCAATGGTCAATAGTTCATGTTAATAAGTGACTGTGAAGAACGTAATATTCTTTTACTTCACTTATTAATCCAATGCTATCTAGTTAACTAGTTTTGGAGGTATACTAACTTGCACTAAACAACTTAACCATTGTGACCCTGACACCAAAGTCTGGGTGAGTACAAAAGCTCTCCAAATTCATTGAATAGTAGAGCTAAAAAACTTGTTTAACATGTCAGTATCAAATTTTAAATTAAACAAGCTATGCTTATAAAATTTCGTTATATAAAAAAGTTAAGTTATAATCTAAATTACCTGTGGTATATTATCTTCTAATGTCACTTCAATAAAATTGTCAAACATGGCGAGCAGGGAACCAGCTACTATGACTCGGCAGTTTACAAGGTCAGCTATGAACCGGATAATAAGCCTAGCAGACTCAAACTCTTCAGTTTTTAGCGCTTCTTTCATATTTCGCACCAGCATTTCGACAAACTATAGAATTAATATATCACAAACATTAAATTCTGTGACTTTTGAAGCCATTCATTTAAAAAAAAAAAAATTTCATATAAATTATTACAAGGAAGAAAACAAAAAGAAGTGTTGGCCAACTATCAGTACAAAGAACCTACTTCTTGATAGCTTTTATAATTACAACACACAGACATAATGTATCATATGACACCAGTGCTGCTTATTACATCATACATGTATGTACTGTTTTTAATAAATTCATTTAAAAGCACATTATGCCTCAGGAATATATAAATATTTTTTTCAGTAGAAAATGTGCTTTATTATGTTGTATAAACAAATTTAGAACATGTGAGATGAATGTAATCGGAAAAATAGCACTAAATGTGAAGTATTTGTGACAAAAGAGACAAAATGTAAACAAAGTGGTATTTTGACTTCCATACAAAGTAGCAAATCATATATATATATTTGTTTCTCAACACAGTATGTATGCAAATTGCCAAAATGCAAAAAAAACAAACTTAATAGGCCTTTAAGAGTTATCAAATAAGCTTACAGTGCTTGCAAAATCCGAACTACAATGTTATAACAAAATTGTGTAGATCAGGATATATTTACCTCCCCTCCAAAATTGTAATTTTTGGCATTGAGGAGACCAACCAATGTAGTGTAGACAGCCTGCTTCTCTGGTAATTTGACAGCACTGGAAAAAAAAAACAATCATATGAACTTGATGTTTGACTTTTAAAGCAGGTTATGTGAGTGCTTCACAGTAACATTTTTTCTTGAATACACAATTTTCACTGTCAGACAATTTCAACCATCAAGTTTTAAACACTTTAGAAAAGTGATACCGAGTATTAAATGACAGATGTTAACTTCATATTTACCATGTGTACTATTAACATGAACAACACAAAGGCAAAGCAACATTTGCACAAAGAAATATGAGAAGTCAAAAATAATTTTTTTAACAAGGGAGAGACTTGTCCATAAAATTTGCTTGAAAACATATTTCATCTGAATTATCCTTATGATCCTTATGAAGTTAAGAGGAAGCAAAAACCAGCAGGTTGCACATCATTTCATTAGGATAAACATTCTTAATTTCTTTCCAAATCTGGCAGACAGGATATAACTAGCAGACAGCACAAAATTAAGCAGCATTCTGTTTTGTGTGTATAATATAAATTAAATTTTGTACCATTCACATAAAATCCTGATAATTTTTGTTTTGTAATTGGGTAAATCAGCTTCCAGGACACTTGCTAGACCTTCTAAATTACTCTCCAGTGATGATGTACTCTGAAATATATAAATCAATTTTATGATGGTCTCCATGTTAAGCATTCTGTATAAGTAGATTAACATTAAGTAAAAGGTAAGGTTGATATACATGTAATACTTAAAAAAAAATTTCTTCAATATAATCAAAGTCATTTATCAACCAGGGCTCTCTATCGTAAAATTTGGGGTCGAATATGGGCCCCATTCCACCATTAAAGTAGTGTGTTTTTTTCCTCCTAAAACCATACAAAATACCCCTCGAAAATAATATTCAATGGCCATAGATCAAGGATCACATTTTATGTTGAATTTTTATACAAAGTATCAAAGATGTATTCAATTTCATTGGAAATAACCAGAATATTCCATGACATTTGTTAACTGACTCTTGTTATCACTTGTTTTAAATGAATTAATTGTTGAAATTCCCCCTTGAATGAAAAAAATTTGAAAATCATGCGAAATTCCCCCCATGCATGGACCCTGGCCATAGTCTAAAAATGCTAAATACTTTTAAAAGAATGCTCTGCATTTTTTAGATATTTTCAAACTATTATGAGCTGTTTAAAGGGCTAAACTATCATACATGTGAACTCTCCCACTTTTTGCAGCCATATTTTCAAAGATTTTTCTTAAAATAAGGGGTATTTTCACAAATTAAAGAAATCTCACTCTTTTTGATATCAGAATTTTCTTCTTTGTTTATTGCAAATTCTAAAATCTTCCTCTTTTGGAAGAACAATCTACCACTTGATCACTGAAAAAAGTTCACATGTATGAACTATTCTCAGTGCTTGACAGTAAAACAAGAGCCTTGATTATGTAAAATTTTCTAAGTTCAAAATTGAAAAAAACACTATTTTTTTAAAAAAGGGCCATATTCTGTCAAAATCCATGTTAGAGTCATGGGCCTTGGATAGTTACCTCCTATTAAGCTCTCTCGACTCAAGTATGCAATGCTGAAACTTGCATGTAAAAATTTATGTGTGACGACTGAGTCTGACTGAGTATAGTTGAGCAAAAAAATAACTTAATTAACAATAATTCAATGTTATTGTGCTTTTACCACTTGCAAGAAAAGAACCAAAATGTTTCTCCTTCTTGTTGGTTCATAGATATTTCTAAGTATTAGTAACTGTGCAGACAGAAATGTTTACTGCATAATATTGTATTATAAATATAGAATGCAAATTCCTAACGCTCAACTTAAAGCGTAAAATATATATTCAATAAATTCAGAAGGAAACTTAATAATTTAAAATTACCTTCTCTCCAACTCTAGAAATAAGTGACTCAAGCCTGTCCTCAATGTCAACATTTTCAGATGTCCTCCTTCTTTTCCTGTGAACTGTATTAAATAATATGGATCAAAGTTAATACAATAAAAAATACTTGTAGTTGTAAGCAAAAGTTTAAATATCAGAAGTTATCAGAATGTTATGAGCCAACCCGAACTAGTGAGTTAGGTTTGACAGTTCGGGACCATTTTAGTGTAGAAGGTAACTAGGAAGAATTAGGCAATTCCTTGCTTGGCTACGATCCAGCGGTACAAGTCAACCCTGCCCCAAGTCAGCCCGGCCCCAAATTGGTCAACCCGGCCCCAAACCAATGTTATTTCTGGTCAACCCGGCCCCATTTTTTTTATTATTTATTTTGCTTTAAAATGTAAACACTTTTCAAGAAATAAAATAAAAATTAACAACAAAAACAACAACAAAATTTTAACGATGATATCTTTTATTATTTATTTTATATAAAAACTTTCAATATTAACAAACAAGCAACACATGCATAATTTACTGTTTTTACAATGTCCAATGCATAGTTATACAATGTTCAATGCAAAGTTCTACAATGTTCAATGTATAGTTCTACAATGTTCGTCACACACCCCTACAATGTTCACCACATACAAACACCAATTCACTAGTCTTCTTCTGCCTCTCTTCTACCTAGTATGGGTCTATTACATGGTAGACACAATCTTCAATAGGGCGGTTTAGACATAATAATGCTGGTAAATTTACTTAAATCAAAAAGAGTAATTTCATTTCTTCTCTCAAAACAATGGATTTAACACAATCAATACAGTTATCAGTCATAATGACATAAAGTGATTAAACACAAAACACTATCAATTTTTCAAACACTTAGTAAAATTCCAATACTTTTTTTACACAGTAAATATTCTTTGAAAATAAGTTAACAAACCAAATATTAATCAATTGTACTAATGAACGTATGCAATCAAAACATTCAAATGAACTGAAAAAGATTGTTGGAAACATAATTTATACAAACCTTTTAATGCCTTTCTTCCTAATTATCGCATTAACACTCACAAACCATCTTTAATTTACATCGAATAAAGATATGAAAAATACTACAAACTTATTTAAAGGATTTGTTTTCACAGCTATACCTTTTTTGTTAATTGATACACATCTGAATTAATGTTGATGTACAATTGTATAATTGTTGATGTTATATAATTATTCATTACCACTATTGCGTATTAAAGTCTTAATCGGCGCAATTAAATTTACCAACACTTTAATGCCAGTTCATGTTTTTTTTACTATTGTTCTATAGTTAATAATCCTCAATCAATAACAAATCATTTTTATTCCATCATACAACAAAAGGACTTAAATAGTTTTCTTTGAAAAATATATATATTGGGGCCGGAATGACCGATTTTGGGGCCGCACTGACCAATTTTGGGGCCACATTGACCAAATAAAAATACAGTAGGGCCGGATTGACCAATTTTGGGGCCGGGTTGACCAATTTTGAGGCCGGGTTGACTTTGGGCCAGGTTAACTTGGGGCCGGGCTGACTGTAATTCCGATCCAGACATTGACGGTTAGTTGATTGTTTGTATTGTCAATATTTTTATAATCATCGCACAGTTCTTTACCCAAGAAGAAACATATTCAAGAACGAAATGAAAATATTCAAAAAAATTGACATCAATTATTTGTTTTCCTTAAAAAAATGACATTCTTTGTACTGTTGTATCCGAATATAATTGCTATCCGAAAAAATAAATCTTTGTGAAAATTCAAAAATTAAATATCAGTTAAACATGACATTTAAAATACGTTTTTATTTCTTACACTACTTACCAGTATCATCTTCATCGTCACTAAATGACGCACGGCGCCTTCTTGATGCCATGATTTTAGAAAATTAAAGCGAAAATAAAAATAAAAATCCCACGCGAAACGGTGCGTAACAACAGCACAGCATACGAATCACTTTGTAGTAGGTACAATTTAGTTAAATAAATGCGAAATGGCTAGTAATGATAAAAGAGGTTGGCGATTGTTTTCTGACTTAAATAACGCCTTTAGGAGAGACCCAGAGATGTAAGACATATTTATTAATCATTCTGTATTTTGAAAAATCTTACAACAATATTCACAAATGAGGATTTTTCAAAATCTTACTCGTACAAAATATTTTCGTACTTATTTGTTAAAACCGATTTTCTTCCTGTTGTATGGAAAACTTTTATACTTTTTAATATCATTAGTTTTTTAAATATTACCCAGTTAAATCTGTTGATCCAGTCCTTTTACAATCCAATTTATTGAAACATTTTATGTTTTTATTTAATTATTTTTTTTGGCTGTTTTGTTTTGTTTGTTTGTTTTGTTTTTGTTTGATCAATTATTGATCAGGTGCTAACGTGTGAGAGATCAGTGATCATATATGAATTTTTACTATGGCAATGACACTTCTAAGTGTATAAACAGAAAAAAGTCTTAAATTTATTAAGCAGGCATATTTCAAGTTTCTTTGCCTGTATCATGTATGTGTTATTGAACACCCAACTCCTTAACATTCATCATTATAAACAGTAAAACAGTTGTTTCCATAATCTTTATCTTATGGTTGTTTTGTGAAAAAGATGTAAATACAGATTACAGAATGTTGAACAAAAACAGAAAAAAACAAAATATTATATTCGGTACATGTACAACAGTATATACCAATTTAGCTACCGAGTCAAGACTGCACAGATGCACTGGTGGAAAAAAAAGTTTATAACTTTCAGTCATGTCAGGTAAAGTGTTAAAATAGATAAAAACCTAGGTAAGTCTAATAAGTGAAGCCGTCTTAAATCATATCATAATTCATATAAGAAGTGACTTTTTGTCCATTCTGTAGTACCGTATGGTACTGGTTACGGGAGTTGACGGAAGTTAACAGAAGGTTCCGGACCAACCGGAACTAGTGTGTTAGGCTGACAGTTGGGCGCCATATTTGTGTATTATATATAACCAGAAGAATTAGGCAATTCCTAGCTTGGCTACGATCCAGACGTGGAAGGTAAGTCGATTGTTTGTATTGTCAATCCCTTTATAATCAATCGCGACAGTTCTATATTGGTGGCAGCGGTGGGATTCAAACCCACGCCTCCGAAGAGACTGGTGCCTCAAACCAGTATATTTTAATTTCTTTTCCTGTTTTTTCCAGAAATGAATTTGATTTTATCCCTGTTCTTGAACCCAAGAATAACAGGAGTCCTGTTGTTTTGGTGGATCACAAACTTGGCTTGGAACTGTGGAGTGTGAAGATACTCTTCCAATATGTATACCATACCTTAATGGGATGGAGAAATAAAAAGTCATATAAATTTATAGGTAATTATATGATTACTGGTATGTCATGGTTCAGAGCTGTTCACTATATTCACTATGGGGGACAGTGACTAATATAATTCAGAGTTTATTATACCCCCAAAAACGAAGTGGTGGTCGGTTGGTCGGTCGGTTGGTTGGTCGGTCGGTCGGTCCAGACGTCCGTTGCATTTTCCTTGTCCGGAGCATAACTTGAAAACTAATGGTTGGAATTCAATATAACTACATACAATGGTCAAGCACATTGAGAGGAAGTGCAGTGCACAAGAACCATAACTCTATCTTAAAGTAATTACAGAGTTATTGCCCTTTGTTGCCTTTCCATTGCTTTTTAGCTCACCTGAGCATGCTCAGGGTGAGCTTTTAGGATCGATGATTGTCCGTCGTCCGTCGTCCGTCCGTCGTCCGTTCACATTTAGTTGTTAACACTCTAGCGGTCACATTTTTGCCTCAATCATCATCAAACTTGGTCAGGATGCTTATCTAGTTGATAGCTCGGATGAGTTCGAACATGGGTCATCTCCGATGAGAAACTAGGTCACAAGAGCTAAAAATAGAAAAACCTTGTTAACACTCTAGAGGTCACATTTTTGCCTCAATCATCATCAAACTTGGTCAAGATGCTTGTCTAGGTGATAGCTCGGATGAGTTCGAACATGGGTCATCTCGGATGAAAAAGTAGGTCACCGGAGCTAAAAATAGAAAAACCTTGTTAACACTCTAGCGGTCACATTTTTGCATCAATCATCATCAAACTTGGTCAAGATGCTTGTCTAGGTGATAGCTCGGATGAGTTCGAACATGGGTCATCTCGGATGAAAAAGTAGGTCACCGGAGCTAAAAATAGAAAAACCTTGTTAACACTCTAGCAGTCACATTTTTGCATCAATCATCATCAAACTTGGTCAGGATGCTTATCTAGTTGAAAGCTCGGATGAGTGTGAACATGGGTCATCTCGGATGAAAAAGTAGGTCACCGGAGCTAAAAATAGAAAAACCTTGTTAACACTCTAGTGGTCACATTTTTGCATCAATCATCATCAAACTTGATCAAGATGCTTGTCTAGGTGATAGCTCGGATGAGTTCGAACATGGGTCATCTCGGATGAAAAAGTAGGTCACCGGAGCTAAAAATAGAAAAACCTTGTTAACACTCTAGTGGTCACAATTTTGACTCAATTGTCATCAAACTTGGTCAGGAAACTTGTCTAGGTCATTGCTGGGAAGAAATTGAACATGGGTCATCTCGGATGAAAAAGTAGGTCACCGGAGCTAAAAATAGAAAAATCTTGTTAACACTCTAGTGGCTACTGTTGTGATCCAAATATTCTGTTAATTGGTCTGAAAGTTTGTTTTGATGATTTCTAAGTCAAGTTCGAACATTGGTCATCTTGGATGAAAAAAACTAGGTCACACCGCCCAAATATGGAAAAACCTTGTTAACATTCTAGTGGTCACATTTTCGACTCAATTATCATCAAACTTGGTCAGGATGCTTGTATAGGTAATTGCTTGGATGAGTTCGAAATCGCATGTGGAACTAGGTCACCGGAGCTAAAAATATAAAAATCTTGTTAACACTCTAGTTGCTACTGTTTTGATCCAAGTATCCTTGAAATTGGTCTAAAAGTTTGTTTTGATGATTTCTAGGTAAAGTTTGAATATGTGTCACCTGGGTAAAAAACTAGGTCGCACTGCTCAAATATGGATAATCCTTGTTAACACTGTAGTGGTCACATTTTTGACTCACCTGTCATGAGACTTGGTCAGAATGCTTGTCTAGGTAATTGTTTGGATGAGTTTGATAAATCAGGTGAGCGATCTAGGGCCATCATGGCCCTCTTGTTTTTTTGTCCGTTGCATTTTCCTTGTCCGGAGCATAACTTGAAGACTAATGGTTGGAATTCAATATAACTACATACAATGGTCAAGCACATTGAGAGGAAGTGCAGTGCGTAAGAAACATAACTCTATCTTGACTAATTACAGAGTTACTGCCCTTTGTTACTTTTCCTTGTCTGTGGCATAACTTGAAAACTACTGGTTGGAATTAAAAACAACTTCATACAATTGTCAAACACAATAAGGGGAAGTGCAGTGCACAAGAACCATAACTCTATCTTGACTAATTACAGAGTTATTGCCCTTTGTTGCTTTTCCATTGCCTTCTTTTTTTTGTCCGGACCATAACTTGAAGACTAATGGTTGGAATTCAATATAACTACATACAATGGTCAAGCACATTGTGAGGAAGTGCAGTGCATAAGAGCCATAACTCTATCTAAAGTAATTACAGAGTTATTGCCCTTTATTACTTTTCCATTGCTTTCTTTTGTCCGGACCATTACTTGAAGACTAATTGTTGGAATTCATTATAACTTCATACAATGGTCCAGCACATTGAGAGGAAGTGCAGTGCACAAGAACCATAACTCCATTTTGACTTATTACAGAGTTACTGCCCTTTGTTTCTTTTCCTTGTCCAGAGCATGACTTGAAAACTACTGGTTGGAATTCAAAACAACTTCATACAATGGTCAAGCACAATAAGGGGAAGTGCAGTGCACAAGAACCATAACTCCATCTTGACTAATTACAGAGTTATTGCCCTTTGTTACTTTTCCATTGCTTTCTTTTGTCCGGACCATAACTTGAAGACTTATTGTTGGAATTCATTATAACTTCATACAATGGTCAAGCACATTGAGAGGAAGTGCAGTGCATAAGAACCATAACTCCATCTTGACTAATTACAGAGTTACTGCCCTTTGTTACTTTTCCATGTCCAGAGCATAACTTGAAAATTACTGTTTGGAATTCAGTACAACTTCATACAGTTGTCAAGGACATTAAAAGGAAGTGCAGTGCACAAGAGCCATAACTCCATTTTGACAAAATACAGAGTTACTGCCCTTTGATACTTTTCCTTGTCCGGAGCATAACTTAAAACGTACTGGTTGGAAATCAAAACAACTTCATACAATGGTCAAGCACAATAAGAGGAAGTGCAGTGCACAAGAACTATAACTCTATCTTCAGTATTTATAGAGTTATTGCCCTTTGTTCTTTTTCTTTGTCTTTTGGACTTATTACAGAGTAATTCAATTAAACTTCATCAATGGCCAACCACATTGAAAGGAAATGCAACATACATGAACCACAATTATCTTTAATTGCCCACAACCATAACTCTATGTTTCAATTCTTTAACAAGGTATTCTGTTACTAGTAACATCCTCATTTCCGAAGCAGACTTGTGGGGGTATTAATCACATTTAGTGATAGTTCTAGTTTCACATTGCTCTGTTACTCTGTGATATTCGAGGACGAATTTCAATATAGCAGGGGAGTATGTCACGGTTCAGAACTGTTCACTATTTAGGGGAGAAGACGTATTAGCGGCGGGATAGCTCAGTCAGTAGAGTCGCGGTACGGTATTCTGAGGGTTCCGGGTTCGAGTCCCGGTCAGGCTGCACATTTTTCTCACCCTGTGACAATAATAATTTGAGAATATTCTTCTTTCTGAATAGAGATGTACTTTTAAAGTTTCCAAAATGTCACTCATTGGCCAATTAACTGAACCATCTTTTTCTTCTGTTGCCTTTTGGCAATTACTACAGTTATAGCAATTTAAAGTTTTGTATGGAAGTCAAAAATTTATTTGCTTCTGAGGCATAATGTGCCTTTAAAACTCCCTGATTCTGTAGATACTACAGTATTATGTAACAAATGATTATATTTCTATTGTCACAGATCCTCAAGAAATAGCTATGTTAGCAAGAGCTGTTGTGTTGGTAAACCCAGAATGTTATACAGCTTGGAATGTAAGGTAAATAATGATCTGATCAAGTTAGTGTTGTGAATGGCAGATACTAAATTGCTGAATGTCTCTCTTGAATGGGAAATCTGTTAACTTATTTCGTAGCTACTTTTATGCCAAAATCTGTAAGAATTGTTTGAGCTGACATGTCTTTGAATAGCTTATTTTGAAATGTATGAGTAAAGTAAGATATTGTCAAGTGAACAAAGAAAATAATTTTCAAATTGAGAACAGCACTAAAAATCTATGAAAATTACCAAAAATAGATCAGAATATCTAAAAGAAGTCCTTAATGTGTTAGTCATACCGTAGAAATTTGGTGTTCAAATACTGCAATGTCTGTCATTAATTGTATATAACATAAAAATTATTTCTTTAATTGTGAAAAGTTTGACGTTTCTTAAAATCTTTAGTTAGTACATTTCTCCTGAAGGTTGACTTTCTTGATAATTATAAGGCTCATCAGGGATGCAGCTTTAAGAGTTTTTTTTTTTTTTTTTTTTTTTAGGAAAGAGTTAATAGAGTCTGGAGATATACTGGAGTTAGATGACCTTCGTCTCAGTGCACTTGTACTAACTAAGCATCCTAAAAGTTCAGAGACGTTTGTTCACAGGTAAGGGAAGTAAACAGTTCAATTAAAACCCACATTTGGGCCTCGTTACTGTTATATCCCAGGTTTGACTGAAGACTTGAGTCACAGTTTAGAACTGTTCACTGTTTAGGGGAAAAGATTTGTAAGCCGCAGGATAGCTCAGTTGGTAGAGCTGCTGAATGGTATTCTGAGGGGTTCCGGGTTCAAGTCTCGGTCAGGCTATATATTTTTCTCCCCTTGTGACACTTGCAAATTTAAGGTGTTTAAAAAGTTAACAACTTCGATATTAATATTAAAATGTCAACTATCAAAAATGCAACAAATATGAGCTAAGGTATGACTATAAAATGGAGGTGTTAGGGACTTACGAAAAGATCAGTATGTGGGCTTAATTTATGAGACAAACAAATTTGCTTATAAGCAAAGGTTTTGCATTAGATTTGGCATGGAACTATGACATTTTAAATGCCTTTGGTTTATGTATTTTTAGCTCAACTTTTCAAAGAATATGGAGTGCTAACCCAGATGTCAGTGTCGGCGTAACACTTTGATTAATTTTTGCATGCACGTCAGTTTCTCTAAAATTGTTGAAGGGAATGGATTGAAACCTTACACACATAGTAGAAGGACACAGTAGAAGGTCCATAACTTTAACATGGATTTTGACAGAATTATGGCCTTTTCTGAACATAGGAAATTCTACATTAAAATAGTCAAGCATGCTGTCCTGTTGACAGCTCTTGTTATAATTAATTGTTATTGAAAATTTTCATTGTCGTTTAATGTAATGACATTGTCTGAAAACACCCAACAGTTGCAAATACAACTAAATGTACAAATGTAGGATGTTTTTCTCAGGAATATAAGTTATTTGGGCCATGCCATGACAAAACCAACGTAGTGCGTTGCAACCAGCATGGATCAACACCAGCCTGCGCATCCGCACAGTCTGATCAGAATCCATGCTGTTCGCCTACAAATCCTATTAGAAGTAGAGAAATTGATAGCGAACAGCATGGATCGCAAATGCTGGTAGCAAATGCACTATATTGGTTTTGTCATGGCGCGGTTCATATTTTTTATGTGTTTATTTCAGACGATGGGTGTTAGGCCGGTTTATTGAAAATCATTTACAGTCTAGTCAAGGATCTACAAAGAGCACTGGTAGTTGTGTTGATGGATTTATTAGCATGGAAGCTATTGATTTAAATCTCGAGGCATCACAAAACCAGTTGTCATTACAAAATGGTATTTATTATATAGATACTTTTCACATAGCAATAATTACCTCCCCTCGCCACAATTTTGAGGGTCATTCCCAATATATCATATGATTGATTAAGATAAGATAAAAATCTCTCAAAATTCTATCATCTTCAAGAAGATTATAAAAATATTTTATATATTGGTTCTAAAATAAATTTTAATGCATATGTGTAAAAGAATTTGATACTTCATGCAAATGAGCTATTTTTATTAATTTTTTTGTACTTTTTAAATATAAATTATTGACCCCCAATTAATGAGTGCAACTTTTGGCAAGGGATGTAAATATTGAAAAGTTCTTGAACTATACTTTAGTGCCTACCATACTCAAAGTGATTAACCTTTGCCTCCAGTAAAGTCACTGACTTACTTCAAGCAGGGTCTGCAAAATCTGGATTTGACTTACTTGTTCTTGCGCATTTTTATCTAAAGCATTTCTTATCTTGTTAATATGATATTTATACAGTAAATGCTCTGGAAAATTTCAACTTGTCCATACAAGCTGTGGGACAACTTGGGCAACATGGACAATTGATTTTGCCACCCTAAGTATATCTTTGTACTCATAGTACTTTTGAATGTCTGACTTTAAATTTTCATCTTTTAAGTTTATATGCCCAAATTAATACATGTAATAGACAGTTCCAAAAATGGAAGGTGGACAAGTCCAGATAAGTCATTCAGGAGGTCGAGGGTTAGGAGATTCCACTGTTATCTAGCAGCCATATAGAGCACTGAGAATTGTCAAATATTTTCCTGTTTGATTTTAATTTGGTGTGTTTTGGTTCTGAAAGGAAATTTTGAAATTTTCTTAAGATAAATAATCTTGCAGATACATTATACTTGAAACATAACTTTGAATATCCAAAAAAAGGAAGACATTTAAAAGCACATCAGGACTGAAGGTTATAAAACTTTTTTTCCGAGTTCTGTCTCTAATCTCAGGATTTTCATTGGTCAATATGCATTTTGTGGCAGTTTCTGACCAATCAGATACTTGGAATCTGAGTTTGAGCTCAGAGAATTTCTTTATAACTTTGGACGCTGGTTAATCATTCATGTTTTTAACTGATGATAACATGTAACATATACAATAATTTTTCAGGGGACGGTTCATTGAATGTTAGTGCTGTGTCAGACTACCACAGACAAATGAAGGTTGAAATAGATGTTTGCCGCTGTGCTGCTGAAAAATACCCATGTAACTATTATGCCTGGTCTCAGAGAATCTGGCTTATACAACACTGTTATAATTGCTCTACTCAGGTTAGTGTCAATTTTGCTTTTTAAAGGTAGTCTACTGTTATGCTTTCCCGCCAAAGAATTTCTTACATCAACCAATACTGTAATAAATCGGTCATTTCCGGAAAGTTATTTTAAACAATCTTCAGTAACCAATAATTTTTAACCATTTATAATCAGAATTTAGTACATAGCGTTAAAGGATTAGTGATTGTAAATAATCTGTTGTGCAAGAGTTTGAAAAAATAACGTTCTGAAATATAACGGATTTGCTTTGATATTAGTCGATGTTAAAAAATTTTTTTTGCGGGATAGCATTACAGTAAGAGAACCTAAAGCTTGACTACTCGAAAAATAAGTAGAGCTATTGTACTCACCAAAGCATCTGTGTCACTGTTTAACTTTGGTTAAGTTTCTGCCTGCAAGTTGGTATCTCCAATACTACTGAATGGAATGGGTTAAAACTTCACACATTCTGTTCTCTGTGATTATCTAACATTATGGGTACAAGATCAGTAGCTCAGATTTAGCATTTTATACAAAGTTGTGACCCTTTTCTTACTGTCAAGCACTGAGAATAGTTGAGTGCACTGTCTTACGGATAGCTCTTATCAAATGTTGATTAATATATTTTTTGATACTTTATAGGATCTTCAAGGTATTGTGCTAGACCCCCATGCCCCTAAGATAGGAATTATATCCTTGCAAATGGTCTTACACAGACACAGTATTTGGCTTATTTGAAGAGCATTAACCATTCATGGCAACATAGTCGGAATGTAAATATATATGTAGCAAAAAAAGGATAGTATCTATCATCTTTTTAACCCATTACTTCATGAGCATTTTGAAAAAAATGGCTGTTTTCATTGAAAAGTCTCCCGTTACAAGTTCAAATTGCTATAATACTATAAAAACTGCTTCAACACTAATCAAACTTGGCACAAATGTTGACTGGACCATTGCCCTTGCAACAACATGATCAGGCTTAAATTTTCTGTTACCATGGCAACGAGGGGACATCTCAAAATTGCCAAAAATCACTATTTTGCGTTGATTTTTTCCATCAAAATTGATTTCAAAGTGCTGCAACTTCTCAATGGATTGAGATAGAGTCAAATGCTTTTCAACGTTGGTTACATGTTACCTTATGATCAATCTGGGGTCATTTACAGCCTCTCACAAGTCTAAAATTTTCTTGGCGATGAGGGGGACTCCGCCCTCCCTTCAAACCCCCCCAAACAGAAGGGGGCACATCCCCCTTCTGGCAACCCCCTGATGTATCTTTTGGTTGGGGGGCCGCGCCGAAAAAGAGGTCACTTTTTTTAACAACATTTCTCAAACAAAAACAAGTGTTTGGGGCCTAAATAAGGCATTTTTCATCATTTGAGACAACAAAAAAAGGGGGGGGGGATGAAAAAGGCGTGTATATGAAGTAACGGGTAAAAGGAGCTCCAATGAGGTGAAAAGGCCTGAAAACATGAAATTTGTAATTCTTACATACATGTAGATCAAAGCATTTAAGAAGGAAAACTTTGCAAAGGATATTTTAATAAATATACTGGAAATTGAATTTAATATTGATTTTTTTGTGCAATTCTAAGCCCGATTTAAGAAAAGAGCATTGCAACACTTTTCATTTTTGGGTCATTTTGCAATTTTGTACAATTACAATAGGTATTCTGGAAAAATGGGTTGAAGGAATAATCTTAACATTTGCACACAAGCTATTGGTTTACACCTTCATCAAATGGTACATAAATGTGAAAAAAACCTAAGTGAAGTCCCTTTAAACTGTCACTTAAGACTTTTTTTATGTTTAATTTTGAACCATTCTTTTTGTAGGTTTTACTGTCAGAGCTCCAGGTCACAGAGTCTTGGGTAGAGAGGCATATATCTGACACATGTGGCTTCCATTACCGCCAGTTCCTACTCACTACCCTGTTCGCTCAGCGTGATCAGTTAAGGGACCAATTTTCCATGCAATATGTGGCGATCATGCAGAAAGAACACAAGTTTGTACAAGACCTGATCTCAACATACCCTGGTCATGAAGCCATGTGGAATCATAGGTATATGTCATATGTTGAATTCTAAAATGGTCTACTTAGTACTTATATTCTAGTTATATTTCCTTTTGAAATTTTTTTTTAAGTCTTGAAATACCATTTCTTTTCTTAAATTTAGGTTAAACATCATTTTATTCATACTTGTTTTAGATTTAGAGATACTACTGTTCACAGCATTTCTGGAAGATAATTTTAGATTCTGCCCAATATTGTACATATTGTTCAGAGCATTCCTGGAAGATAATTTTAGATCCTAACCAATGCTGGACATACAGTAGAACCTCTCGAGTAACACCCTTTGTCACTATCCAAGTAGCATAACACTTAATATTGATTTTAATTGTTGCCCTTTTTAAACTTTTTTGAAAATTCTACATTATTCAATTATTCTTTTACTATCAGTTACTGCGGATAGTCGAGCATGCTGTCCTAGAGACAGGTTGTGTTTGATAAAGACCTTAAGGACATTATGATTTTTTTTTTTTACAGGAAATATGTCTTCCATTCACTGCATAATTTGTACTGCACTGAATGTAGGAGAGATGAAGGTGAAAATGAAAGTAATTTAAAGAAAACCAGACTGGAAAATGATCATCACATTCTAGAACAGAAAGAAATAGACTGCGTCCAGCAAAATGAACTCAAATGTAAAGATATTCACCAAAAGAGATTTGCACAAAATTACATAGACTGGATACAAAAAACTGTGATAAAATGAGGACCAGTCCGAAATTATGCCTACAAATAGCACACAAAGAGACTAGCATAAAATTATTTTTGAGTATTTATTGGTCATAATAGCAAATAAGATAGAGTGAATGAATCTTTGCCAGATTTAGTTGACAGCCTCAAGTGCATCATTTAAAATAATGATTAAAATTAATATTATCTGTGTCAGGAATATTCAATTAATAACAAATTCAGAATTAGTTTCATCTTTTGGCTTATAAGCAGAATTTTTACATAGAATGCTAGATTCCATGCATGTTAACCATTAGTCATACTGTGTCTGAAAGGGAGGGGGAGAGAGGTGTCCTTCCTAACTCATGCATGTTAACATACATAGATTGTATGGAATTTTTATGAGAAATTAAAGAATATATAAGCATAATAGTTAATACTAAGATCCAATCATTGTCAGTTACCCACAGTATATATTCCGTACATACTACATTATCCACGGTAAATATTTCATACATACTACATTCCTCACGGTATATATTCCGTACATACTACATTATCCACGGTATATATTCTGTACATACTACAAAAGATGATGTGGTATGTACGGATTAAATATCTAGGATAACCAATCATGATGTTGTACATATTATGTACAGAATATATACTGTAGGATATATCTAACAAGTATGTACATAACATATACCATGGGTTGCCCACGATGAGATCCAATTGGCCTAACTCTTCGATAATTTATTAACCCTTTCCCTACTGGAATTGAAAGTGATAAGCCTTTGCCACCAGTATTAGAGCCAGGCTAGCCTGAATATCTGTGCAGTCTGACCAGGCTCTATACTGTTCTGTTGGCTGATCAACTAAAAATTTTCAATTTTGATCGCCCTAAAATTGATAATGGACGATTCTAAAAATGGAAGCCGGACAAATCCATTTAAGAAATTTAGCAGGTTAAGGGTTAAATATCACAGTCAAGTTCATTAGATATCAGTTTTGAGTACATTGTTGTAGAATAATGCACTGTTAAAGTTCAAATGCACAGAAATGTAATTCCATAGGTCTGAGTGATTTATTACAAAGCATTTGAATTATTAGCTGTGCATTATTCTACAACAATGTTAGAAAAATAAATATCTATTTTCATTCTAACATGCTAATAAAAAAGAAAAATAGATAAAAATATGTTGGATTACAAGGAGCGTAGAAGTAATTTGTTTAATTTAATTTTGTTTAATGTTGTCATTGGTGATGTCATAGTACGTGTAAGCATTCCTTTTTTGTGCTGTGCATATATCGTGTAATAATGCACTTAATTGCCCTATCTGTTTAATGTAATGAAGAAGTATAGGATTGATTTAAAGGGAAAACTTTTGATGATTGAAATTTGTTACTATAAATGTCAAGTCTGCTTCCAAATTATAAATATCTGTGATAGCTTTAAGGTTGATACAAGATCTGCAGGTGTTTCATGCAATGAATGTGAAAACATATGAGCCGCGTCACGACAAAACCAACATAGTGTGTTTGCGACCAGCATGGATCCAGACCAGCCTGCGCATTCGCGCAGTCTGATCTGGATCCATGCTGTTCGCTTTCAGTTCTTTACTTGTAATAGGGTTGGTAAGCGAACAGCATGGATTCTGAACAGACTGCGCGGATGCGCAGGCTGGTCTGGATCCATGCTGGTCGCAAACGCATTATGTTGGTTTTATCGTGATGTATATATATAAATATAATCAACATTTGGCAACTTTAATTTATTATTGTTGCATTGATTTTGAAATTTGATACAAATTAAAACCTGTTGATAGTGATATTTGTAAACGGTGTATATATTTTTTATTGGCGATGGTATTATATATTATATTTTACTATCTTTAAAAGTTGGCAATTGATGCAAAAGTTGAACAATGTTTGTTGACTTCTTTATGACATGCATTATTTCAAAATTCTTAAACTTTATAACTTTACAATAATAATTTCACTTGACTTATTTTCTAGCAAGAAAGGGTGTTATTGATAATTTTGTGAGGAAATATTTCGAATAAGGATTTGTTCATAAGCCAAAAATATCATTTGTTGCTAAGCAACAGAGATAAAAAGATATCCAAGGACATCTTGGGGGTGATACTTTTATGCAGCTACTTGTCAGCATTGTTTATGTATTTTTTGGGGTTTTCTGAAGTAAAAATGAAAGTGTAGTTATGTTGTGAAGTAAATATCCTGTACTGTGATGTAGAATTTAAAAATTGCCGGCAATTTCATATAAAAAATTATCTATTTATTAAAGTTTAAACTTTAACGTATATGTTTTCTGGCAATTATTGGCAATTTTTTTATTCTTTTTTTAATTTTTTTATTCAATTTGTGAAGTAGAATTTTTATAAGCATGTAAACTGACACTTGTGAATTTATAATGTTCTAACACTAGTTAGTTTTTCTATGATGTGAAATTGTGAAGTAGAAAATTAGTAAATTTCAACTGGTCAGAATTTAATGTATGATTGTTATGAAAAATTTAAACATTTATGCTGTCAGTTGTCAGCATTTTTTTTATTCAATTACGTTACATTTACTTTATATTGTGAAGTAGAAATATGTTTGTATATATCCTAACACCAGATTTGTTAGTAATTTTAATTAATTTTGTTGTGTTGTGAAGTAAAACTTTAAGAATTTATGTTAAAAACTTAAAATGCTGCTTACACGTCACCATTTTTTTTTTCATTCTTTGATTTTACTTATTATTATATTAATATATATTATATAATACTCGTACATGTAACTGCTAGATTTGATGGCTTTATGCAAAACTATTCTTTGTATATGTAGATAATGAAAAGACATAGGGTAGTTTTGCACAGAGCTTTGATTAAATTTTTTTTTATATTGCTTTTATACACTTTGTCAATACCACAAGTCTTTCATTAAACTATAACTACCTTAATGTTATTATCAATTGTGTCTTTTGTGGTTTTTTTCCTCCTATGGAGTAAGTTTTGAACATTTTCATTGCATTCTGATTAAAGAGATTATTTTATTTTTCTAGAGGAATATTTTTTATCACATACCATGCCTCTTTTGTGACTCTGTAACACATGGTATTACATGTACATGCAAGGCCGTCCATATATTTTGAAATGCCATAATTTACATTAAAGAAAGTGAAAAATTGAGAATAAGTGGTATCTCCTTTCTATGCTGCCCTAGAGGGATATAGTTTAGTTAGACATTATCTATTAAAGCCTTCAACGCTGTGCGTTGAAATCCTGCAAGGGACTTCAGATTCTTTCATGTAAGGAAGTTGTCCAGCTAGCTTATGGAACATCATTGGTTCCACTCAGGTGCCTGTTCATGCCAGGAAAAATATATAGAGTGGCACAAGTAAAGCTGGAAAGTTGCCATATGACCTATAGCACAATTATGAAGAAAGCTTGAAGATTATTAGAATCATTCTTGCATTTGCTTCCTGGAAACTGACCAATACATGAGAGAACAGGTTTGTGAACTGAGAAGGTTTGTAGCCACAATCCCTGGGTTGAGAGACAGAGACACCTTAACAACTTCCCCACTTCGGGGTACATAAATATTAATGACATATTAATATGTATTAAACAACTGGTAAGAACATAACAACACAAAACCACTTTTTTTGTTACTTTTTTAGTAGTTTTAATGTTTTTAAACATAACTTACATGTATACATGTATATGCTATACACTAATTATTTGTCAAAATAAAACAAACAGTTGCTAATCCTCCAGTAACATAAAAACATAATAAGCTAACATAACAATATACAGTTACCATGGCAACAAAATACCGGTATATTGTACGAGACATAAAAGGGCACTTCAGCACTTAAATCAATACAAAACTTACAAAATTATGCGGATCAACAAAATTTCCAAAACAAAAATGAGCTTTAAAATATTACATAAAAGCAGTCTATTCATAGAAATGGATGAAAAAGAAAAACTGCCTTCCAAAAAAAAAACAAAAAAAAACTTTGTTATAAAGACATTGAATATTTATAAGTTTATATTAAAGCTTTTACATCCATTCATTCCTTAATTTAAGATTGAGTTGGAGTCTCTATTTTTACAATCGTCTTTTTTAACAACTGGAAGTATTACAGTATACTGGCCAATATCATTTTCTTTACAGTCACAATCAAACATTTTTTTATTTCACATTCATATGCAAATGAAATCCATGAAAGCATCTTCAATTTACAAAACAACTGGTGCAATTCTCAGTATCAATTTTTCAACTTTATATCATGCATTCTATATAAATTGAACCAATTTACATTAAATAATTATATTAAACAGACTTGTCAATCTTTCAGTCTGGACATAAACCTACCATTCATTATTCTCAGGGAAATTTTCAAAAGATGTATCAATTAAAAAGCAAACAGTGCAGACTATGATCAGAAGGCATAGAAGTGCCAGATAATCTTGGTCTGCACTGGTTGTACAGATTTATTCAGCAGACTGAAAGCTACAGAATATAAAATTTATGCAATTAGTATTAGATTTATATGTCAACAGAACATTTTTTTTTCTCAAGTCTGCCATCAAACCAGTGTACCAGAAACAGTTATCATATACTTGTAGATGGACAACTCAATGAAAAGACATAAAAAATATTTCAGTCGTACTTTTTCATGCAAAATCTTCAGATATTAAACCACATTTTACACAGGTGCCAAATAAAAACAAAATTGGCAAAATTAAGCTAATATGAGCTATCTCAATCAATTAATCAATACCTTACACATAGGAAAATTGAATAATGATATAAGATCTTATACATAATGAATATCTAAAGCAAATGATCAGACAATTATAAATGTACAAGACTATGCAAAGGACTTCAAATGCATGTAGATGTTGTCCGGAACTCAAACAATGTCAGTTTTTCCAAGCTAATTAATTCCATGCTTCAAACTTTTCCCGTTTGATTGTGCACTACCTGTCACAATAGATAAGTCAACCTGTTGTGCTTATTTTCAAAGCTGTAATTGTGAAAGTTTTTAAATTTGTATCCTCAGATTACCTGGGAAAAAACTTGAAATATTATTAATTCCGGAGTTAGTTTATTTAAAATATTTTTTTTTTCTTTTTTTAGTACATATTTTTTATTATACATGGTAAAATATGGTTGTTAGTCACCATAATTGTAAAAAATTGGATTATCAGTTCTTAAATGACCTGAAGTTGTTGATAACGACCTGTCTCAGAGCCCAAAATAGGGCCGAGGAGCAAAGGCCATGAAATTGCCTTCTGACCTAGATCTTTTCAAAATAGTTTTCGTAAATACCTTAAATTTGTAACCATACATGAATATAGTTACTTGGGAATTTATATCATATTTACATTAAAATGTATATTTAGTTGATTCAATCAAAGGATACAATATTCACCTTACAATTTTTTCTTGGTCAACTTTTATCAAATATAGTGTTCAATAGAAATGACATTTTTTGTGAAAGATTTCAAATAAAAGTGTGTTTCTTTATCATAGAGCAAATAAATAAATCTGTAAGGAGAAACTTAACTATTCTTTTACAAAGACATGAATGTTGATACTTGAACAATGTTATTTGTGTAATTTGAACAAAAAAAAAAGCTCATACAAATCAGATACAATAAAAAGTTCGGAACTTTTATCTTACATTACCTAGCACCACACTCAGCAGTTTCTATTCTATTTTAAGAAACATTTTGTACATGTAAGTGAGAGGATATTGGCAAGCACCTGATGTTATCAGTGAAAAAAGAAAGAAAAGAAGACAAAAATGTAAAAGAAATATTCAATGAGAGTTACAACAAA